TAGGCGTCTGTTGGCTTACGAAGGTAACTATAAGTTGTTGTGCCGTTGTATCTTGAAGAGTTTGTAGTCGGACTTGCTGGTGTTAGGATTCTGAATGGGGCTTTGATCTAGGCTTTACAAAAAAGTGTTTCTTCAGTTTAGAAAAAATACCAACTGTTTAAAAGTTTGTGCCTGTTTTTTCCATCCTAAAGCCAGCTTTCAATTATATATGGCAGGGAATTTTTTTTTTGACATTTTCAAATACTCCTTTAAAAAGACAAATACATGAAAGCAGCAGTGTATAAGGTGCTCAGAAGCGTTGAATATGTTGTTATAAAACGGACTATTAACAAGAATTAATAAAAAGCAGAAAAAAATTTTTAAAAGGGATCTTGAAGTAGAGTCTATAACAAAGAACACCAACTGAGGTGGAGGAGATTTTGACAACCAGATGGCCATTGATTTTATTGGTGAGGTCAAGCTCAAGCATAAGGACATCAGTGAGAGCAAGAGGCCTGCAGGACTTAATAAACATACCCCGTGCACCCTCTTCCAGCACACCAAGATGATGTCATCACGGAAGGAATCAAGCACACTTCCATTCACTGTGCCCAATTTGAAGAAAAAACTAAAGCTTTGCTGATTGTATAGTACCAGCTCTGTGGAAAAAGCTGTGTGCAAAGCCAGCCTGGCTGAGTTGTAGGTCTAGACTTCACGATGGCAGATTGCTCTCCACATACCCATAGATCCGTAACTTCTGCAGTGAGTCTTCAGTGGCAAGAACAGTAGCATGAACCCTTGCACCATCTGTGATGCAGCTTTGTAGGCGTCCGGTCTGTCTGGAGATATATCTAAAATATCAGGAGCTGCTGTGCTTGGATATCAATTCCTTTCTTTTGGTGTTAGAACTGCTCCTGAATTCCTGACTTTGGTGGAGAATGAGTATTTGAATGTACTTTTATCAGCTAACAACTAGGAAATGCAGTTTATATCCTGAAGCATTGGATGGAGAAGGAGAAGGACTTTATTTGCATTTTAAGTAGTGAGTTTCTTTAGGACCAAAGCTATAAAGTACTCTGTCTTAGCCTTGAAAACTCCTAATGACGCAGAGTGTAAGAGGGCAGAGAGTCATTCTCCAAGATCATGCAGGTGAGCAAGTGAGCCGCTCTGCTCCTGGGCTGTGAAGAGACTTGGGGAGTCAGTAGCATAAGACCTCGAACTGACCCCTCTAGGTTTCAGGGCATGTTTATTTTTTTAGGATTTTATTTATTTATTCATGAGAGACACGCACAGAGAGAAGCAGAGACACAGAGAGAGGGAGAAACGGGGGAGCCTGATATGGGACTCCATCCCAGGATCCTGGGATCACAACCTGAGCCAAAGGCAGACGCTCAACCACTGAACCACCCAGGTGTCCCTCAGGGCATGTTTAGAATAGGAGAGTGCCCTCCTGTTTCATTTGCCCATGATTTAGAGACAGTGCAACCATCAATCAGAAAGTCTGAGTTGGTACCAAAACCTGTCTCTAGGAAAGCTTCCATTTGTGGCTCATGGTGAATCGAAGACCACTGCTTGAAAGAACAGCATTTCCCAAACTTTGTGCTTCAGAATCACCTGCCGTGCTTTTCTCCAGTGCAGATTCCTAAGCCTCATCATCAGATTCTGACAAGGTAGACAAGGGATATATGTTTAAGAAACACGAAGTTTGTCAAAGTCCTAGCAAGCAAAGTGAAACACTTATTTTTAGAATTGTTAGACAAAAAGAATGATTTGGAAATAAAAGCTCCTGTGTCTCTTATCCTAAAGGGAAGCCACATTTTCTATTTAAATTTGCTTCTCACATTTGTTCTGAACCAAAGTAATTGATGAACAAAGTTTGAATTTCTGTTTGGAGACAATTTTCCCACCCTGGGGGTTTTACTTGGAATTTGTTAAAAGACTTCACATTATGCTCAGTTAAGCATCCGACTCTTGATTTCGACTCAGGTCATGATCTCAGGGTTGTGGGGTCAAGCTCCACATTGTCGTTAGGCTCCCCACTCAGTAGGGAGTCTACTTCTCTCCCCTTCCTCTCCCTCTTCCCCCACCCCTGTGCGCTCTCTCTCTCTCTCTCTCTCTCTCTCTCTCTCTCTCTCTCTCTCTCAAATAAAATCTTAAAAAACAAAAAAAGACTTAACAATATGTGTGAGTGTGAATAAGGAAAAAAAGCATTTTGCTTCAATCACATGTAAGCTGGGTAGAGAGTATGTGGGGGTGGGGCGTGTCATATTGTTCCCCTTATTCTTCTGTGCTTCAAATACTTTATTATAAAAATTTTGTTGTAAGTCTAAAGAAGAGGAAAAAACAAACATCCCAGAGCTGCTGAATCATCACATACTCGTGCGTGTGTGAAGTCCAAGGGACAGAGCCAACTTGCAAGCCAAGGGCCTCCTTTTTCTCATGCTGTCTTGCCAGTCTGACTTTTCTTAGCACCTCTCCTAGAAGCTGAGAAAGTGTGTCAGCTATTTTCCAGTAGGAAGTGGAAATGGTGCCCAGCTTTTTGAAGGCATGACTCAGTTTGGCTCTTTGGAGATTTCATCTTAAAGACAGTGTGAGAGTTTTCTGTAATAAGTAAATTTTAGTTCTAGCCTTTACACTGTGCTGTGGAAGAGTGTGGCAGTGTTTTCCAGACATTAGCCAACACACATTAAAGCTTAGTTGTACGAAGAAGGACATCAGATACCATTAGAAAACATCTAAAATACGTTTCTCATATGTAGGGGGGTGTCGCAATGCCAAATAACATTCTAAGCAAGAATCCTAATTGCATCAGTCAGTAATTTAGCCATGTAAAATGGCCTTTCTGTGTACATCCAGTCTATAAGATTTCAAAATATTTTAAGAAATCTTTGTTCTAATATCCTCAAATCACAAAAACTCCAGTTCTCAATAAGCACTGCCATTTCCCTGCAACTTCCCGGCAGGAACCCCTGTGCACTGACATAGTTTGTGCTAGTGGAGGTCAGACCCTGCTTACGAGAGCATGAGAAAGACTAGGGGCCCTCACAGTGGTATTTAAAGATAAGTTCTGCTACTCACCATCAGAAAGTGTAAATTAGACCAAAACACTGTGGAGAAAAATATCCTAAAAGATAGCCTTTATTATGAAACACCCATAAATGGCTACATTTTTCTGTGCATTTGAACTCAAGTAAGATAAGGTCCAATACATTTACCTGTAAAATATTTGAGGTCAAAGCCTCCTGCTGTGAGGTCTGTGAGGGTCTCACTGAGGGCTTCAAAAGAAGCTCCTAGAAGCCTTCAGGGCATTTATCTCGATTATGGTCAGGATATCAGAATTCATCCTTACCTTCTGTTGCTTTACTTCTCCCACCTCTGAAGAGCGTGGTGTGATCTGGAAGGATTTAGGACTCTTAAGATTATGACAGTTTAATAAATAATAGACAGCACTTTGCAAGTGATTCTGGGCTAAAAGTAGTTGGAAGGATCTGAGGTTTCATTCTGAAATGTTAGCTAAGAGTTGCCAGCAAAGCACCATATTTTAAAGTTATATTTAAGGCAAGATCAGACGACATTCTCCAGATTGATTTAGTGTCTGTAGTTAAATACCAGTATCTAGAATGCACTTGTACTTCATTTTCCATTGCTTTCTACTAGATGTGAGGAATTAAGATGGGCACTATCTTTTTGCAGATGTTCTGACTAGATTTTTTTTTTTTTTTTAAAGAAAAAATCCCCTTTGAACATCCGTCTCACTCTTCTCTCTCAGAGATAGCGTAATGATGTTTGGAAAGTCAGCCATTGGAATGAGTTAAACATTTGGTCAGCACGTGTTTAAGTCGGGCCCGTATTTTTAGTTCAGAAAACTCCCTTGGTTATTTCCCCAATTTGAATTTCTCCAAATTCAAGTTTTAAAAATACCCATAGGTGATGATAGTGATAATGATGATTAAAAAGGAAGGGCACATTCCCTTATAACTGTAAAACTCACACCCACGTATCCTCTTGAGAGTGCCTCTCGCATGTATTGTCTTATAGCCAGGGAAGAGAAGTTTCAGTTTGTAATGCAAAGGTTAAACATGGATTGGAACGCAGTTTTGACCAAAATTCTCTCTTGGTTCTTGAGGTCTTCTTCCTAAAATATTTCATTGAACACAGTATTAAAAGCTTTAGGGGCACCTGGGTGGCTCAGTAGGTTAAGCATCTGCCTTCAACTCAGGTCATGATCCCAAGTCCCTGGGATCAAGTCCCACATCAGGCTTCCTGCCCAGTGGGGAGACTGCTTCTCCCTCTGCCTGCTGCTCTCCTGCTTGTGCTTGCTCTCATTCTGTCAAATAAATAAATAAAAAAAAAGCTTTAAACATAGTGACATGGGTTCTAAAGTACACTTTTCCACAATGCTTCTTAACCTGCCTCCCTCATGCACCCCTGAGATCTACTTGTAACCTAATCATTAACTTGTACCAACTGCCCAAGATGCCCAAGACCATGATTACAGGGCATAAAGGTGATTCTTCAGCCTGATGGTCAGCCTTCTGAGCTGTTTAAGCTTTTTTGGTTGTAAATCATATGAATACTGCTTCTGAATGTGCTGTCCATAAAACAGAATTTTGGCCGGGTATCTTAGGCATTTTAAGAATGTTCTCCAAAGGGGCAGCTTGGGTGGCTCAGTGGTTTACTGCTGCCTTCAGCCCAGGGCCTGATCCTGGAGACCCAGGATCGAGTCCCACGTCTGGCTCCCTGCATGGAGCCTGCTTCTCCCTCTGCCTGTGTCTCTGCCTCTCTCTCTCTCTCTCTTTCATTCATGAATGAATGAATGAATGAATGAAAGAAATCTTTTTAAAAAAAGAATGTTCTCCAAATATTAGAAATGGCTCTGTAGGGAAGCCAAAGTGTTTATACAGTTTCTCTTAGAGAAATAAAATTCTTTATCCTAGATCGGATGTCCAGTTTTCACAAGATGATTGCTGAGAAGGTTATAGGCGGCGTCTCTTTAAAAAGCATTGCTTTCTGTTAACTAGAGATGTGCAAGCAAGCCAGCGCTCCATAGCCTTAATTGCAGAAATGATCCACACTGCTAGTCTGGTACACGACGATGTCATTGACGATGCAAGTTCTCGGAGAGGAAAACACACGGTTAATAAGATCTGGGGTGAAAAGAAGGTATGGTGTTTTGTTTCCCTTTCATCTTCTTACCCATTCACATGCTCTTTGGATTGCATTTATTTTTCAGATTTGTCTCATTAAGTAAAATATGTCTCCTCAAATGCGGCCTTCCAATTTTCAGAATAGTCTTCATGTCTTGTCTGTGTACATATATTTGATAATAGAGAAAACCATAAAAAAATAAGCTTCATATTTCTGGTTATTCACAGTTTTATCTAGAATTCCTTTTGATCATAGAGAAAGGGATTTTTTTTGTGATCCAAAAAGCATATTTCATGAGGAACCATAAATTTTACTTTTGGGCTTAGATTACTCAGATTCAATTTAATTCTTTAACCTTTTAATGACTGCCATGTGCAAGAATGTCATGGCAAGTGAATAAAATTGAAATATATATGTATGCTACATACATGTTTTTAAAATATAAACATGTAAAAAGTTATATATACACACATAACTGCAAAAATTTAACATTTTTAAATAGAGGCTCTATATTGAGTTTGGTTCATACATGTATATTTTAGAGCATATTTCGATAGTAACTTATTAGCACCTCTTGAGGGGGGTATGTAAAAAGGGGAGTTTTGCCTAAAGATACTTAAATCACTGGTTGAAGATGGGAAGAAGCTGAACCAATGAACACTAGGAGGGACAGGGCGTTTGGAGGCGGCGTCCCCCCACACATGCCCCCATTGGCCACTCTGCCCATTTGAAGCAGAGACACAGCAGAGCGAACAAGTTTCCCTCCGCTTACCTTCCCTCACGTGTGTATATATAGCACCAGCTTCACTCCTGTTTCCTAATTGGCCTTATGAAAAAGAAGAAATGCATATTAATTGTCAGCTTCACAGGCTGGTTTTGCTTTTGTGTACATGACTTGGCTGTGTAATCAAGTCATGTGATCTCCTCTATAAATCTTTTATTTCAAATTTTAAATTAAAGGTTTTGTATCCTGCTGACAGAATTCCATACATCAGAATGTGGTTTTTAAAAAAAGTGGTGGGGGCATTACCCAGTTTCATTTTGGAGGGGTCACAGGTACTTGATGACATGTCCCTGTAGTGAGCCGAATGTTTTCAGGCTGTCCTACAGCCTTAAAGAGAACAAATTCACAGTCTCTCTCCTGCAACGGTGATCACCACTGTTGGGGCCTCTTGCAGCCTGGGACTGGTCGGTCTTGCATGGCCTACCTGCCGGCTCCCTCCCCTTTTCTGCCTCTTAGTGGAAAGTACTTGTGTTTCCAGTGAAAATCTGGCCACACAGCGCCTCCTCCAGGAGCCTCAGTGGTTGCCTGGGGCCCAGCATTTCCTTCCTTCAGCCTCTCTTACCTGGCAATCCCCAAAGCCCCGTCTGGTGGCCTCACTATGCTGGGATCCCAGTGGCCAGAAGAGGAGAGACCTAAAAGCCCAGAGATCCAGAGTCCTGATGATGTCAGGATGCCAATGACGTCAGGGTGGATGAGGGATATATCTGTGGATATATATATATATGTCATAATGGGGACAGTGACTCTAAATGTGTTTTTATGTTTATGTTGAGATAATTTGTATAACATGCTGTGTACAGTGATTAATAGGTAAACATACTGAACATCACTTATTTTAGATACTAGAGCTAAGACAATAAAAACTTAAAATAAGGTATTGAAAATTCTATGAGTTAAGTTTTCTCAGAAATCTAGCATTTATGATTTATGACTAATGACAACACAAAACTCAGGCATAGCTTTATTATTTTATTTTTATTTTTTTAAAGATTTTATTTATTCATGAGAAACACAGAGAGAGAGAGAGAGAAAGAGAGAGGGAGGGAGAGAGGCAGAGAGAGAAGCAGGCTCCACGCAGGGAGCCTGATGTGGGACTCGATCCTGGGACTCCAGGATCATGCCCTGGGTTGAAAGCAGACACTAAACCACTGAGCCACCCAGGGATCCCCTCATGCATAGCTTTAAATATGCAGATGAGTATATCTGATTACAGAGTATAATTCAATTATGTATAATTTATAACAAGCTGTAACTGCAGTAGGGGCATTGACTCCCAATCTAAAGAAGATCGTGTAGCACAAAGAACATTGAACTCGGAGCCAGGATTCCTTCGGTTTGCTTTTCAGTGAGACAAGGGTGTGTTGTGCTGAGCGCCCTGGAGGAGTTTGGTCCATAGGGAATCAGGCAGGGAGATAGCAGTTTGAAGGGGTGCCGCGCTCACACAGGAGACAGGTGTCTTCACGTGGAGGGATCCGGGTGGGTTTCCTGGAAGTGTTACCCGAGCTAACTGCAGACGAGGCTGCTCTTCTAGGTAGAAGAGATGTAAGCACAGAGGCACAATAGCCCAATTTGAGTGGGGAGCCCTGTTTCAGCTGACGGCCACCATACTCTGGTGGGGCCGGGGGTGGTGGCAGCCCCAGGTGTATACTTGCTCAGCTCCACCGATGTCCCCAGTCTGTTACTGATTGTGACCCACAGTCTTGCTGAGGAGGAGCTAGGGGAAGACCACAGCCAAGATGGACCGCCTCACCCCCACCCCACTCTGAGGAGCCAGCTACATTGATATTTTTGGATATCAATGATATTGATATTTTTCTACCTTGATATTTTTCTCTGAATGGTTCCTCTTTTCTAGGCTGTTCTTGCTGGCGATTTAATTCTTTCTGCAGCATCCATGGCTCTGGCACGAATTGGAAATACCACTGTTATATCTATTTTAACGCAAGTTATTGAAGATTTGGTGCGTGGTAGGTTAATTCTGATTTTCTTGTCTTATTCGGAATCTCCGTATAATTAGCCAGGCAAATCAAGCCGTCTTGCAAATGACCCCTTTCTTTCTTTACAGGTGAATTTCTTCAGCTAGGGTCAAAAGAAAATGAGAATGAAAGATTTGCACACTACCTTGAAAAGACCTTCAAGAAGACTGCCAGCCTGATAGCCAACAGTTGTAAAGCAGTATGTACGTTCTGTCTTTGTTCAAGTTAAAAAAAAAAAGAAAAGCCTTATGGCTCTTTTTTTGGGAGCTAATTTTCCTGGGGAACATTTCATTGGAGAACCTAAAAATAGTAACCCAAATCCCAAGAGGTCATTGAGAAAAGAATTATATCCCCAAACAGCGGAGAACTTCTGCTGTGGGTTTTGTTTCTGCTGTCTTCTGTTGCTGTGCGGATATCTTTCCTTTTCATCTTTCTTCCCAAGAGCAGAAGCAAAATAAGCCTTCTTCACCCCATCTCATCTCTAAACTGTGTGACATTTTGAACAACTTCTCATAAATGATGTCTTTCACAATTGCTGTCCCATATATCATTTCTGACATTTTACCCCTAAAAAGTTATGAAGTGCCGTGTTCTTAAATATATTCTTTGCCCAGGAGAAAACACCTCTTAGGTTGCATTACTGTTCTTTGTCCTGTGTTATGAGTCTTTTTCCATGAAATATAAACAAGCCATTTTTCAGGGCAGCAGGGTGGCTCAGTTAAGTGTCTCACACTTTTTTTTTTTAAATTTTATTTATTTATTTATTTATTTATTTAGTTAGTTAGTTAGTTAGTTATTCATTCATGAGAGACAGAGAGAGAAGCAGAGACACAGGCAGAGGGAGAAGCAGGCTCCATGTAGGGAGCCTGACGGGGGACTCGATTCTGGGTCTCCCGGATCACGCCCTGGGCTGAAGGCAGCGCTAAACTGCTAAGCCACCCGGGCTGCCTGTCTCACTCTTGGTTTTAGCTCAGGCTTTGATCTCAGGGTCATGAGTTCAAACCCTGCATGGAGCCTACTTAAAAAAAAAAAAAAAAAAACCCCAAGGCGTTTTGCTTTGGATATAAATCCAATGTAAACCATAACTTTTTCTCTCCCTGGCCTTCCTTCCGCTCTTTTTTTTAAAAGTCTGTATTCTCCTTAATCTGTCGACTAGAACATGTGGGATTCAGGACTCGCCCCTAAATGAGAGCCAGTTCTCTCCATAGAATTGCTCATCTAACGTATCTCAGCCTAACCAACGTGGCAGAGACACATCCTGGGCAAGCACTGGCCCCTTGCAATCAAAGCAGCAACAGAGGGAGCGTTCCAAGGGGCAGGTGCACATTGCTGCCATCACGCCCTATTAATATTACTGCAGTTGAGGAGCTTTTCCTCAGCCTCTCCAGTGAAAAAGGTCCCTTGCCAATAGTGTCTCGCTTTTGAAAAGTTCAAGAAGTGGATAATTGCGAGTCATAAAAGAATTAAGACATTTTCTTCCTGAAAAGACTAATTGAAACTCTAAGAAATGTGAGTTACATAGAACATGCTGGCCACAATTTCAGCCATTTTTGTCTTTATTGAAAGGGCTGATATTTTATTTCCAAGGAATTGCAAGTGTAGTTTTTAAAATAGATGGTTGAAAATATAATAGACGTTAGAATGCTGAATTAGAGAATGACTGATTTGAAAAGAGGTGCCATAAAGCTGTTACATCATACGTTTGATGGTCAAAGTCTCCATGAAGATAGACCGCCAATCTCATAAGGCACACTAGAGCGCTAGGTGAAGTTCACAGATGATCTCATGAGCTGGAGCCTGCAGGAGGAAGCGTTGGTGGGCAGTGGGGCTGTTGGAACTAGACGTTCTGAGATTGTCATTCACACAGTGTCCCACAGAACCAGGTACTAATACCCTCAGTGATCAAACGCTATGAAGGGCCAAGGAGATGGACCTGAGGCACCAAGGAAAGCAGTGATCATGGTCCCTATCCTCTCTGTTTGGGAAGCCAGAGGCATGATAGCACACATACTCATGTATAAACTGCACCTCGTTCTTCCCAGGCTAGCAAGGCAACAGTAGATGTGCAGAGTACCATGGCTCAGCCCTTTCTAAAAATGAAATGCTTGATGTTATCCACTAGGAGGCATGCTGGCATCATCCCACAACTACCCACTTTCTATGCGACTTATTCCTAAACTCCAGAACTGTTAGAATAATAAAGCAAAATCATTGTGTGAGCACTTTAAATAAAAGATTCTATATTTAAGTGCCTACGGGTAGAAATATTCCAGAGGTGTTACATATTCAAAGTGGCTATTTTTATATACCTGGTATTCAAAATGCAAAGACCTGTGGGCTCTAAAAGTTCATGCAAAGCAAGCTAAAAGTGCCAAAAAGAGGGAGTACAGAGAATTTAAACATTAGAATTATTACGGAATAACTAATCACAATCTAAGATGGTATGGGAATTAAGGAAATCTAGCAGCTTGCAATTTATTCTGCTGAAGACACCATTTCCTGGGCGCCTGGGTGGCTCAGTTGGTTAAGCATCTGCCTTCAGCTCAGGTCATGATCCCAGGGTCCTGGGCTGGAATCCAGCATTGGGCTTCCTGCTCTGCAGGAAGCCTGCTTCTCCTTCTTGCTTGGCCGGACACTTTCCAGCGTGTGAGCTTGCTTGCTCTCTCTCTTTCTCTTTGTGAAATAAATAAATAAAATCTTAAAAAAAGATAAAATAAAAAATAAAGACCATTCCCCTCCATCCTTAACCACTCCTTGCATTTTTAGTAGAAATAGTATAAAATCTAAGAGAGGGCTATCTAGGATTATGACAGTGATTGATAGGAACATAGAAGTAATGTATTTAAATGAGTGGTTACATATTTGTGTACATAGTCATACAGAATACATCAGAGCTTACCAATGAAGTCTATGATTTGTTCCCCAGAAAATCTGATGGGAATGAGATCTGAGAGGTCCAGTGGCCCATCCAGTGTTACTCAGGCAAACAGTGGCTGAGCTGGGATTCAAACCCAGAACTGGGTATGGTAATCCTGCATTCATTTCTTTTTCTTTTCTTTTTTCTTTTCTTTCTTTTCTTTTTTCTTTTCTTTCTTTTCTTTTTTCTTTCTTTTTCTTTTTTTTTTTTTTTTTTTTATTTCTGCTCTCTCCAGTGCTGCATAGGGCCTGGAATCAATGGGATCTCTCTTCCTGGTACTTGATTTTCAAAGCCACAATGTGCTACTACAGGATCTTGTTTTGTGGCTCGTATTTGCAGAACACGGACTTGGGTACAGTACTCTTCTCTAATCTGCAGATTGACTTTATTCCTATTTTGCCAACTGTCATAATATCGTAACAAAGGGGGGAAATGTTTCTGGTTCAGGAACTGATCAGGGTTCTCGTATTGCATTAACTGTCGTGACATTTTAGTCTCAATGGGGAGCAGTTCCCTGGCCGGTCTTTATTCTTACGTTACCTTGGAATTTTGAAAGGTGCAGGCTGGTTGCGTCGTTGAGCCTCTCAAGTTGGGATTTGTCTGCCACTTTGCACAGTTAGCTCCAGGTCACAGAGTGGGGGAAGACAGCAAGCAGAAGGGACGCCACCTTCTCTGGTCGTACTGTCGGGGGGGGGGGGGGGGGGCACGTGATGTCCCTTTGTCCTATTACTCCTATTACTGGTGATGTTCAGCTTGATTGGGGTGGTGGCTACCAGGTTTCTTCACTTTAAAGTTACTGTTTTTTCCCTACTTAGGGAGGTATTTTGAGATTATGTAAATCTGCTTCTTATCCAACTCTGGTTTTTGTATCTATTAATGATTCTTTCCTAAGTCATTTATTGCTTTGATGGTTCTTCTGAATGACAGTTTTGTGGATTCCATCATTCCTTTCGTATTACGCTTCCACAATAGAGTGGGCATTCTGTTTTAAGGAAGATCTTATCTATATAGACTCTTGGATTCTCATTCTGTGGATTATAACCCTTCATTGTTACTTATTTAAGTGCCAAATTATCCCAAGTTTGGCCAATAGGAAAGGCCCTTGAAACTGGCTCCTGTGTCCTGTTAATCTACCCTCTTTGTTCTTTTAGCACATCCTGAATTTCTAGCAGATGTTCTAGGCTCATCTTGTCCTTCCCATCACTGAGACTCATTATTTCTCCAAGGAGCTCTTTTCTTTTTGGTGAATGGTATTTAGAAACCAAGATCTTGTCTTAGGTATAATTGGACTGGCCCACTGGAGAAAGCCAGGAAATTTTAATATATGTAGGTGGATATGCGTATATCTTGGTCTTTTTATATCCCATCTGTGTGTATTCAAAACCATGAGGTCACCACAGGATTCCTGATTTCTTCTAGCATTCCTTCTTTCCCGACAGACAGTTGACCTTTGGACAACAAGGGTTTGAACTATACAGGTCCTTCAATGTGGGTTGTCTTTAAAAATTTTTTTTTAGTAAATACAGTAAGGCAGTGTGACAGTCCTTTCTCTTCTTTGTGATTTTTCTAATAACATTTTTTCTCTAGCTTTATTGTAAGAATAGGATATAATACATATAACCTCCAAAATATGTGTTAATCAGATGTGTTCATAACTGAGACTTTTGGTCAACAGTAGGCTGTTAAGTTTTGGGGGGAGTCAAAAGTTATGCATAGATTTTCAACTGCAGAGGAGGTGGGGGTGGTGTCAGCACCTCTGATCCCCAAGAATAAGAAGCTTAGCTCCCCATTCTCCACAAAATATGTATCTTCTTAATCCCTTAGACATATACGATAGGGGCTTAAAAATCGGTACCTCCTATCTCTGTAAAACAAAACAGAATAAAACAATCAAAACAACAAAAAACCTTCATTATTTATTGTTCTTTTTATCTTTAGACTGAGGATAATATAATAAAAAATCTGTGTTCAAAAGTTACCCTTCGCCCCTTTTCACTGTGGCTATATGTCATTATTTGAAATATAGGTTAAATTCCTTTTAACTCCGTTTTAGGAGTTCCCTCCCATCCTTAGGGGTTTTGTGTTTTCGGTTGGAGGCTGTTGTTGTTTCGAGTGTATGAAACGTTAACATAACTCTGAGTCCGGACTGTACAGACAGGTGACTGCCCGCCGCCCCTCGGCGGGTCCCTCCGCGCACCCCCTCCACATCCTTCCACCCGTCCTGCGAATACCTGGTCTCTTAGCTTCTGCTTCCACCTGTTTACACAGATGAATGGACACACGGGCCTGTGACCTCCCCTTCTTTCTTTTTCTTTTTCTTTTTCTTTTTTTTTTTTTAAGATTTTATTTATTTATTCATGAGAGACACACAGAGAGAGGCAGAGACACAGGCGGAGGGAGAAGCAGGCTCCATGCAGGGAGCCCGACGCGGGACTCGATCCAGGGTCTCCAGGATCACGCCCCGGGCCGCAGACGGCGCTAAACCGCTGCGCCTCCCGGGCTGCCCTTCCCCCTCCTTTCTTACAAGGAAAAGCCGTGTCCTGTGCCCGGTGTGCGCCTTGTCTGACCTTTGCACCTTGCCGTCTTCGGTTAAGGACTCGGGAGGGAAACGTCCCACGCTGCTCTGTAATGGTCCTCGGCTGCCAAAGCGCCGCATCGCGCCGGGAGTGCGCCTGTACGCGGGCGTTTGGGCTGCTGGCGCCTTCCCGGGCCGGGCGAGCCACGCTGGGGGCTTCCGCTTTGTTAGCGGGCCCCCGGGTGTCTTTCAGGGTAATTGTGCGCGGTTTCGATGCCCGCCTGCAGCTGTCCTCACCCGCCTCTGCAGCGCCGACGGATGGGCGGTGGGATGGCCCCGGGGTTCCGGACCTGAGCATCTCCTCAGGTGCTTACACGCCATGTGTAGCCCCTGAATGTTTGAGACTTGTCTCTCCGCGTCTTCTGCCCCACCCCCACCCCCACCCCCCGCTTCTCGCGGGTTTGGTCCTCCCCCCCCCCTGCAATTTTACTTCCCCCCCTACAATTTTAAAGAGCTCTTTATATATTAAGAATATGAGCTCTTTGTGATTTTACGTTGCCTGTGTTCTCTAGTATTTTTGGTTGGGTTTTGGCAACAACCTGTTTGGTATCTGTCGTGTAAGAATGAAGCTCCGAGAATCTCCACTATTTCTCAGTAAGTAAGACACAGGCCGATCCCTGTCTGCCTTGTGCGGTGGAAGCACACACTCGGGAGACAGCGGCGAGGCGCGTGCGGCCCGGGCCTTCTGGGACAGGGCTCTGAGCCTTGCAAGAGCGTGACCTCCCCCAGTAGAGGCGCCCGTGCGCCCGTGCACCCGTGCGCGGCGGGACCGGACCGGCGTGGCTCTGCTTCCCACACAAGGCGTAGCCGAGCTCCACTTTCTTGCCTTTGTCATTCCTGGAACGCTGAGAGCAGAAGCGCTCTCGCTGAGTCCACGCGCCTCCTTTGTGCTTTGGTGTTGCACGGCCTGGGACCCTCCCGGCTGGAAGGGCGGAGCCAGGCAGCCCCTTCCCGGGCGGGGGGGGGGGGGGGGACCCCGCTGAGAACAGCCCGTCCCGCGGGCGGCGCTCATCGCAGGCGGCGCAGCCTCGCGCTTCCCGGGCTCGCGGTTCGCCCTCTCTGGGCTTCCATTGTGCGCCCCTTGGAAGCAGCCTAGTATAAAGTGAGCGACAGAACCGTCTCCGGAGTCGGACCTCTTGGGTTCCAGTTCTGATTCCACCGTCTCCCAGCCCCGCAGCACCGGGCGCCGCCCTGTGTGCCTCCGGGCCGGTTCGGAAGCGAGTGAACCTGCGGGAAATCTCAGGATGGCGATGGCCCCGGCACGTGCTGGTGCTCAGGGGTGTTCACTCCTGCCAACCGCGAACCACAAGGGAAGTGCCTATGAAACGCTGTGAGGTTTAACTGAGATAATGTCATGTACTCTCCTAGGCACTCCCTAAATTTCAATCCGGTGAGTTTAGAAACGGAACGGAGATTCTGTTTCGTTTCGTTTCTGTATCTCTTACTTTTCGGGAAGAAAGCTGGCACTTCTGTGCAGTTTTGTGTTCACAGCGTGAACGGGGGTGCTCTGTGAGTCATTTCTGCCGAGAAAGGGCATCTTGTTCTGGGCGCGGCACGTCCCAGGCTGCCTAGGCTCCTCTGCTCTTTCGGCCAGCTTGAGGGGTATCTCGACTCTTGTCGCTTTCTGAATTGTGTCCCACGTGGCCTCGTGGATTCTTCAGTTTGGTTGGAAAGGGGAGTCTGTCCCTGTAGCGGTTATGAGCTTATTATACACGTGAGGAAGTGACCCTTGACAACACGCATGTTGTCATCTGAGCACGAGCCGCCAAAGATGACAATCACAGGCTACCTGACGTCATCAGAAACATCGTCAGGGCTGAGCAAGTTGTGTGATCGGCCTTTCGGTAGCCGCGGTGCACGGACACTGCCCCGCTCCTGTTTCCGCATCCAGGGGATGAGTGGGGGTTGGATTATTAACACCCACAAAGCCCTAGAGTTATCAGATGCCAGGCACTGTGCTGAGGTTTAAAAGCAGCATCACATGCATTCCTATGGCAACGCTAGGAGCTGAGTGCTTCCTCCCGCACGTTACAGAAGAGGAAACCGAAGCACAAAAATGTCAAGCAATACATCGAGATGAGGGGGGTCACCGCGCCTCGGAGAAGCCTGACTGCAGAGCCCGGCCCCAGCGCAAGGAGGTTGAGCCCCGGCCAGTGGGGTGGGGGATGGGGACTGAAGGTCTTTCACCATCAGGGACCCACTCCGGAAAGGACCCTGGTGCCACCTGGTTTTCTCATGCACTCGGTGTAGACGTTCCCTCTCCAGGGGACTTGATGCCCCTCCTGTTCCCCCTTGTCTGGTTTCTACCCAGTCTTTGTTTCCTAGAAATGTGACCAGGCCTGCCTGCTTAGCATGCTTATTAGAGCAATGGGAAATGCACTCAAGTGGCCAGCGCCAGCTAGGTTTTCTTGAGTTTTTGTTTGTTTGTTTTTTGGTTTTCTTGAGTTTTAAAAAGACTTCGAAATCCTATTTCTCCTCCCCTGAAAAAGGGAGGGGGGAGCTTTTATGTACTTAATTGCTTCTTGCTGGAGAAATCTAGAAACAGTAGGACCAGGGAAGACCCTTTGATAATGAGAAAACAGTATCTGTCGAAAGTGTGAGGCTTAAGGCTGTTACAGACATGTCAGGAAATAAGGGAAATCACCAAAAATTATTAAAAGAAAGGAAATACAAATGAGGAAATCTACATATGGCAACATCATGTGTGATGAGAGCAGATTAGGAGATCTATTCCTAAAATAAGAGTTAAATCAATAGAAAAATAAAAACAACATTTAGGCCAGATTTGCTGAGTGCTAGAAACAGCGAGAAAGATGGCTAATCCTGGGAGTAGAGGGGTGGAAAGTAGCTTCCCGAGAATTTAAGAGCACGATCTGAGATTGAAGCTGAAGCCCTTTCATTAAAAACACAGGTATTCTGTGCATGTCTGGTGTCCTTCTGAGGGCAGGATCTCCTGACTGCATAATACAGCCTCATCACCTCTTAACGGACTGTGTGCAAGGCTTGGCTGCTTGCTTGTTGCCAGCGACTCATTCCAGATTTCTCTCTCGGCTTCAGGTCTCTGTCCTAGGATGCCCGGACCCGGTGGTGCATGAGATTGCCTATCAATACGGAAAAAATGTGGGCATAGCCTTTCAGGTTGGTCCGCTGCCTTTTAAGAACGTGACCTGTTGGCACAGTGGGAAGGGCCTCGGTGACACCGGTATGGCAGTGCTTTTGACATAGCTTTTTTCTGTTTGCTAGCTGATAGATGATGTGTTGGACTTCACCTCATGTTCTGACCAGATGGGCAAACCAACGTCCGCGGATCTGAAGCTTGGCTTAGCCACGGGCCCAGTCTTATTTGCTTGCCAACAGGTGTGTTTTCTAAACTCTCTTTGACACAGCGCTTTGAATCTTCCAGGCACGGCTGATGGGAAGGTTCAGATAAGGAAGGTGTGGGGAAGCATTTTACATAGAGACCTTAGATCTAGATGTGACCTTGGCTCTGTGCCAGAGATACTGGGACTAGTTTACTCTAAAGCTTTATCTGTGTCCTCATCTGTGACACTGAGGAGATGACCACCGTCATCCCAGGGCTGTTGTGAGGATTAACTGAGATAACATTCCTGGAGGTACTTGACAAAAGCCAGCGTGCATCCAAGGTAGCATTACTATTATTTCCATGTTTTAGGGACTGACAAGGTGAATGGTTTCCGCATCTTGATTATAGAACTGGACTTGGGGTATGCCTCAGATCCCCTTAAAAAGGCACAGGAAGGGCCTCCAAGCATGAGAAATTCTGAGAAATTCTGCAGTTTTAGAAGTTTAATGGGACTGTTTGCTACTCTCAGAGAGCCTTGGCCACTGCCTCAAAAATGTCAAGAAGTCAGTGGAATGCACTACTAGAGCCACATAGTTTCTCCTTTCTCCAGATTGAGGGGCTGCCCATTAAGGAAGTAAGTAAAGCTGCCTTCATATTCTCCTTAATACGGATAAGAGTTTAGGACCTTCACATGTTGCAGGGACTGTGAGGCAGACATTTCCAGAGCCTGCTCTGGAGCCTGGCCACATTGCTCGGGGCTGGGCCAAATGTGGCTTGAAGTAAGTGGGACATTGGCTGGCATTTGGACATCTTTTTAATAAATTTTCATCTTTGTAGTATATTTAATCCTGTATTAGCAAAGTGATAAGATGTTCATCACCATGCCATTAAATTAAAAATTAGCTCTTTGGTCTAAAACTTTAGTAACTTTTAGCCTCTCCAAGAGTTTTGCCTCTGTTCTTTCTCAAAATTTGCAGAGCTAAACCAACCATGTCTTCCGTAGAATTCAGTGATTCCATTTTGACATTACTGAAGCCAGTGATCTTGCTTTGATCAGTTTCTGATCCAAGAAAGGCAAGATCACCTTTTATCCACTGCCCAGCAGAGCCGTCACCAGGATAATTCTCCTCGGAGGAGGCCGGTGGCTTGGGGGGCCTGGGCCAGGACGACACAACACACTAGAGGACAGCCGTCAGCTGAGGAACAAGGGCTCCAGATATCCAGATATTTGTGGAAATATCTGTCCTCACTGCCAGGTTCTGTCCTCGCAGAACTTTGAGGCTGAGGTGAGAAGTCAAAGGTGTGCTACAAATGGTCCTCTCTCCTGTGGAGACTAACTTGCCAGCCCACACCTCAAGGAGAATACTAAAACATGTGCTAAGCTCTGACAAAAATTTATAAAATCCCCCTGAATACATGAAAGCACGAGCAAGGAATATTTTTTTTTTTTCCCATTAACCCACAAAAAAGGATTCATGAGCCAAGCAAACGTAAAGGCATGCCGGAGCCTAGAAAGATCACTGCCTTCCATCTCTCGGACTACAAACATTACTCTACTCCTGAGGCCCTGATTAGCCAATGTGAGTAAAGAACAGGAGGAGCGGAGGACACGGGGACTGGGCCAGCTCAGGAAAGATTTCTGCAGTGAGGCCCTGAGTTATCAAGATGAGTAGGGAGCAGGCCTTTTCCAAAAGAAACTTGCACCCTACCAAAAAGCTCTGGTGTCGGACTTTTAGAAATCTTAGCAGTTAAATAACTGTTGTGAGCCCTATGACACTAACAGTTGAGTCCCCCTAAACTGCAAGGTGACGGACTGAGAATGGATGCCTCTTCTGATTGTTTCACTAGGAACATATTTCAGAAGAAACGGATTTGCTTTCCTCCACACAAAGGAGTAATAAATAATTCTCCCTTCAGATGTAGTGGGGCAAAGGCGGTGGGGGGGAGGGGATCCTGCCTATGTGTTAACTAGTGAGTACTGATACATCAGAGATTAAAAATGCTGGTTTGGAAAGGCAAAGGGCAAGGAAAAGGCACACACAGAAGCTTACGGCGTCCCAAACCACAGTGCTACAGGTCTCCTTGGGAATGCAGCATCACCAGGCACCCACCCACCCTTCCCAGACAACACTGTTCCCATCTGCCTGGAAGGTGGCAGGAAAAGGAGTGAACAAGGCGCACGGCAGCCTTAGAAAAGGGAACAGAGGGGTGCCGAGCAGGCAGTGACCCTGGGCTGAACCTGCTTCCTAAGTAGACTGGCTGCTGTGTCCCGCACAGGTGTGCAGGCAAGAGTTACGAAAAACAGCTTAAGTTGTTTTCAAGGAAAACATCAAGTTTAGGCTCTACCGTGGACTACACTGTCAAGAAAGGGATTCTTGGCCAGAAATGTGAAAAGATTGACATCGCCAGAAGTGGTTTGGGGTAAAACAGGTTCCAAAATGACATGAGACTGTGCAGTATCTCCATTTAATGAAAATGCATTGTTTTCATGGTTTGCAAAGTATTCTTTCATACGTTCTCTTTCACCTCACAACTCCTCTTTGTGGTAGGCATTATGCCCATTCTACACGTAAGAGGATGACATGCAGACCTGGCCAAATTAACCGTCTGGTAGATGGCACAGCAGATTACTGAACACCAGCTCCTCTAAGACCACTATTTCTTTCACTCCACAATGTAATATAATTGCCAGTGCTGACGCTGATGAAAGCTTGTCTAATGCCTGGTGGGGCTTCCGGCAGAGCAGGTAACTCGTGCGCTCTGGCCCTGGTGACACTCGAGAAGAGCCTCTGTCAGCCTTCATGATCTGTCATTAACTGGCCCACTTAGCAGAGTCCTCCTAAGATGTTTGTAATCTTTTTCCATAGGTGGGTGACTTTTATTTGCCAGTTACTTAAATTAGTCTTTGAATTTTTCCACTTGTGAACGCTGAGTCTCGACCAGAAGTAACTTTGGGAAAACATTTTTCCTTTTTAACACTAGGTTGTCTTGAAATAGGAATTTCCTGATCCCAACAACTTAATGAAACTCCCTCTCCTTGGAATTCACTATTTTTGATATTTTTCTAAAGAGGTTTCTGGATAACAGTACAGGGGATTTAAGAGAAGTTTTGGGATTTCTGGAGAGGCCCCATTAATGACAGTGTCCTTCCATCAATGCGTATATACATATTTTCTGTAAGAACAGAAATGTCATGTTAAGTCTTTAAAAAAGAGTATGTAAGTTGGATTTTGAGAACTTGAAAAACAAAATGGAAGTGATTTTTAGGTTCTTTTTTTTTTTTTCTTCCATGAGATTGTGTTAGTTCACAGATATCCTTTAAAAGATCTTTTCCTTTCTTCTGCTTCTCTTATTTGATAGAAGTCACCAGACTTAAATGTCAGCCAGCTGCCGCCACCAGCCCCAGCCCCTGCACCAGCTGTACAGGCTTCTGTTGTGACTGGCTGGTCCCCTAGAGTTACCCAGGTTTTGTTTGAGTAAGCTTGCTACATTTATTGAATCGTCTTTGTAGTTTAGTTTATGGATACATTTCACAGTTAGAATAGGATTCGTCCTTCTCTTTTTTTTTTTTTTCCCCTGCAGATTTACTTATTTTAGAGAGAGTGAGAAAGAGAGAGCAGGGGTGCGGGGAGAGGGGAGAGAATCTTTACGCAAACTCTTCACTGAGTTTGGAGCCCAACGTGGCTGACTATCCTGGCCTGAGCTGAAACCAAGAGTCACTCAGCACCTAGGTGCCCCTAGTTCATCCTACTCCTAAAAGGTTTCCTTATCTCAAATTAAAACAGCCTGGACAAACAAATTTCCTTATTTCTCACTAAGTCCGCAAACAGGCAATTGTTCCTGTTAACGCCTCTCACTTCTTGGCTTAGGCAATGAGGGGACAGGGGAATGCCTGGGGGAAGAGCGTGGTCATTTGCATATGAAAATTGCACACACTAGTATTTAAAGGAAGGATGTACTCACACTCAATGCAAATATTTTCTTCAAGCTTTGCTTTCTCGAAGCATTTTATACTAAAAGGAGAGAAACCACACAGCACATTTTACCACCCTTGTTGGTCCTGCAGAAAAAGCTCATGCACCATAAACAAGGTAACTTTACCAGATGCCCAGGATAGTATCCTGTCAGCCCGAAGGGTATGGCCCTCCTGAAAGCCAGTTTTGGAACGTGCTATTAAGACAGATGCCGACCTGATTTGGCTTTTTACCACTAAAATGGATTGATTTGAGCTTCCTGATATGTTCCCTGTAAAACATAAATTATTCTATTCTTAAAAGGTCAGTAACTAAAACAAATCACTGGTGTTCATTTACGAACTAACCATTTGCTGGCCTTTACACTTTATAAGCATGTGAACAGCCTCGACAAGTTTAGAACTGTGTTCTGACACATCCTTTGCTCTGCAAGGAACATTCTCTTAATTCTTCATCTGTCACCATCCGGTTGAGGTTTTTCTATGTGTGCCCTATTTTTTCTTCTAGGATTACTAATACCGTGGTGGTGGTTACAGGACAACAACTTCAGACTCCCTGCCAGGGAAAAACTGGCAACTGCTGTAAGCGCTGATGTGTCCAAAACCAAACATATCCTACCTCTTATTTCATGGAACCAGAAGCTGTTAGAGCTGATGGGGAGGCTAGGACCTCAGGTTATGGAGCTCACTCAACTGTGGAGGCACCATGACTGGAGTTCCCATGTAGAAAATGAAGGGATCTGGTGTCCTGACTTCCTGATTTTGTTCACGGTGACAATTCTCTGAATTGTTGCTTAGTATTGCGGAATACAGAATTAACTACAGTAATGTGACTGGCCTGTCTACCTCTGTCTCCTAATTCAGTGGTTCTCAAGCTTGGCTGCACATTAAAAACCCCTGGAGTGCTTCTAAAATCCTTATGCACAAGCCGGACCACCCCACACCTCCCACTCCACCCTCTGCCCCAGCTAATAATAGAAGCAGAATCTTTGGGAGCAGATCCAGGCCACCATGAACTTCCCAAGCGACTCCAGTGTGCAGTCAGCATTGAGTACCCCTGCTCTGATCCGCTTGACAAGCTGCTGAGGTAGAGCTCTGCTCAGAACACCCTCTGCCTGGATACCTCAGTAGCTTTCAGGTGTCACCCAGTTTAGCACTACAAGTAGAATGCCTAGAATTCCCAGCCTGCTCCTAGGCCACTGCTTCTCAAACTGTCAGCAGGGTCAACAGAGTCCGTATCATCAGAACCTGTTAGAAATGCATGCTCAGGCCCAACCTACTCATCACGAAACTTGGAGGGAGTGGCCCAATAGGCCTCTGGTGATCTGGTGCAATCTAAAGTTTGAGAACTACAAGAGAAGCCACTAAGGAGATTTTAGGGACGTACTTTGTTCCTTTGCTCTTTTTACTCAGTGTTGGACCGAGGATAGAATAGAACACCAGAAAGAACGAGGACCAATAGTTACCTCTCCTGAGCAGCAGCTCAGTCCCTGGGCATGGAAAAAGGAGGTCTCTTAGCTCTGCTTCTTTAATTGCTACAATTTACTGCCCACCCCCCACCATCTAAACATTTAATCCTTTTTGGATTTTTCTCCTGTTGTTGCAAACTTAGTGTTAGAACATTTGATTCTCACAAGAGCAATAAATAGATTTCTTTCTTTATGGTTAGTTCCCAGAAATGAACGCTATGATAATGAGACGGTTCAGTTTGCCTGGAGATGTGGACAGAGCTCGACAATATGTATTGCAGGTAAGATTATCTTACAAAGAAGGCAGGAGCAAGAACAATGTGGCAGAGTTCTTGAATCAAATAATGTTAACAAGTTTTAGATGCAAAACCAAGTGTGGTCAATCTTTGACAAAAACCGAGAAGGAGAAACTTGTATAATTCCTTTTTCTTCTAGAATTCTTTCTAAAGACTGCAATTTAATTGGCCTTGGGTAAGGCGTGGACATTAGGATTAAAAGCTACCCAAGTGAGTCTAATGTGCAGTATGTGCAGAGCCCCACTAGTCAGAAATCAGTCTTCCCCAAATCCACGGGCAGCATGCTGCTCCCAGCCACACAGATGCGCCCCACCCGGGGCAGGCGCTCACCTTTGCCACCACCATGATTATCATCATCTCAGCATTGGTCCTCCCTAGTCCCTCCCAGAACTGCCATCAGTGGTCACTTAAGAACCAACAGCGGCAGACTCTTTAAACTTCAAGGGCTGTAAGCTTACTTCAGATGTATTGCCACATATCCTTAGAACTTTTCTGTAGAAGCCACATCTTTTTACGTTTTCCCTTTCAATAACTATCTTTTGAGAATGAGATAGGGTGAACAGTTTTAATAAGCTCACGAGTGGTCTGGGATCTATGGTTAGTGCAGTACTTAAAAGAATACCAGGTATAGTTACCTTTCAGATTTCCAAAAAGCAAGACCCCCTCCAAAAGATATATTTCTCTTAACTCTCTGTACTTTAAGCATCACGATTTGCCACCACCTCTTTGGAGGGTAATTCAGCAGTATTAACAACTCCGTACAAGGGGCTGTAGTTGAGGTCGATGTACCTGGGAGAGGTTCTGGTGTCAGAAATAATAGTATTACTGAAGGCTGAAGTGAGAAGTCAGACTGAAAAGAGGCAAAATTAACTGTTGATCTTAGCAAAACAGTGAAGTTGCAGCAACCCTAGGCAGAAATGCATTTAGAAAGGCACAATGTTCTCTTAAATTCTCCAAAGACCTCTAAATTCTAGCTCCCTTCACCCAGAGTGCCTTCCTAATCCCTTATTCCTTCATTAAATATGAATGGACAGCTAGGATTACTAAATAGTTGATTAGAGCTTGCTGATTGAGACCAAGGTAAAGGGAAATACTCAGGGAAAAATGTAAATGGGAGGGGGCGGGGAAAATACTGTATCCATAGAACAAGAATAGAATATGTTTTGAAAAACACAGAACGAGCTCTAAGAAAACCTAAATGATTGTAAAAAACTAGCTCCAAAGGAGGATTCTAACATGAAATGAGCAAATCTTCGAAAAAGTAAACAGCAAGGAAAGAAAATGAGAAAAGCTTTGAGAGGATCAGTACGACGACATGAGACAACAGGTATTTCAGGAAGAGAATCCAAAAACAGGAAAGAGTGGTCTGGAGAAGAGCTCAAAACTGGCTTGGGATATAGCAAGAACCCTGGATGCCAGGGGGCAGCAGGCAAGGCCTTCCAAATGACGAGGAGACATTTAAACCTAGAATTCGGGGATCCCTGGGTGGCTCAGCGGTTTAGCGCCTGCCTTTGCCCCGGGGCGCGGTCCTGGAGTCCCGGGATCAAGTCCCGCGTTGGGCTCCCAGCATGAAGCCTGCTTCCCCCTCCTCCTGTGTCTGCCTCTCTCTCCCTCTCTGTCGATCATAAATGAATTAAGAAATAAATCTTTAAAAAAATAAAATAAACCTAGAATTCTATATCCGTTCATTAAATATGAAGGCAGAAGTCATCCTTACACTTAAATACTGTAAAGCTGATTTCCAGTACCCATTTTCTGAGTGAGTTATCTCTGGATATATTTCAGTAACAACGTGGGAACACCAAGAACGAGAAAGCTGTGGGCACTCAAATCAGTGGACTAAAAACCTACCTGGGATGGCAGCTGTTAGAGCTGGAAGGCAGTGAGCCTAAGCAACAAACAGAATGATGAAGGCAGTGGAGAGATTAGGGATCAGGAGCTGCTTTCCCAAAGAGGAAGAAAAGGAGGCAGTTATATTCAGAAGTGGGCTTCTGTACAATACAGCAGAGCAAACTAAAATACATCCTATTTTGTGTCGATCGGTAAACTACAGAAAATCAGAGGCCTTTCAGAATGATGCTAGGAATATTCTATTCTGAATGATAGCGGGCTCATGAGCTTGGAACCACGAAGGAGGAAATAAAATGAGTTACAGGACTTGATTCTGCAGCAAATGTATTTTTACTTCATGGAAACAGTGTTTTATTAGCGTTCAGCTTTTAGAACCAACATAAAAACATGGTTCCAGAAGAGAATGCAAATCTCTATAGCGTAAAGGTATAAAGAATAGGAACACTGGTATCCTTGAGATAAAGTGAGAAATTGGTGCTACATGAACTTAACAGAAGGTGGCAGTAGAATTAACAAACCAGAAGGCGTAGGGTGGATGGGCTGCATCCTCACCTTTCTTAGCAGAAAGGTAATAAAGTTGCTAATTAAGACATTAAAACCAGCAGATAAGGCTGTAGTCTTTAGAAGAACAGAACTGTTGATTTCCATCCTACGTGCGCTTTTATTATGTATATGTTCTTTTCTAACTATAGATTTCACTTAAAAATTTATACATATTGCATATATGTACAACTTTTAAAAAACTCCATACTTAAAAGGGAAAGTAGATGGCTATTTGATATTAATGAGTTAGTTGCTTTGCATGCTGATAGAATAAATATGTGCTTCACTCTGAGAAAAGTGCCTCAACATAGTAGGAAGAGGAAGCTGGAATGATGAGTTGCTGAGAGCACCTGAAACATAGTTTGACTCTTTATTAACCTGGATCTCAACAAAAGTACATCTTAACTCTCTACTATAGCAAGAATTTAAGAGCTGATCCCAGTGAGTGATGCGTCTCTCCTCTTTTGTTGTACTCCCCAGAGTGATGGTGTGCAGCAAACAACCTACCTCGCGCAGCGGTACTGCCATGAAGCAATCAGAGAAATCAGTAAACTTCGACCATCCGCTGAAAGAGATGCCCTCATACAGCTTTCAGAAATTGTACTCACAAGAGATAAATGACAACTCTTTCTGTTATTTCTGGCAGCTATTTTACCAGACTGTGCCTAAAGAATTTTGTGAAATACACTTTGCTTCATGTGCAATAACCAAAAATCATTTCAAAAAACCATTTCAACCTTATTGATGGGCAATTTTTTTTTTATTGGCAAAGTTTTTCAGAAAACTTTTTAAATGTAATTAAACCACCCGAATTTGTCACTCTAGTCCTGTAAATTCTCATCGAGGTATCTTGATGGTTATATGTGGTATTGTTTACACTGTTAAGATCCACATGTAAAGCCATTACACAAATAAATAATCAATGTTAAAATTCAAATGGTTTATCATGTTTCACCCTAGGAGTAAAGGTCACAAAGACTGTGAAGTCTACATTTCAATCCACATTAGATTTTAACAGTATCCAAAATTTCATATAGGAGAATGGTTTATTATAAAAGACTGTACATAAAATTTAGACAACAGGTTATATACAAAATTAAGAGAACATTCCACTTGAAAAAATGAAAAAGGTAGCTAGCTGATCACTAGTGATACTGAAATCATGTTTAAAATTAACAAGGCAAAATGCATATACAACAGTCACATTGATTTGGTAGTAATAATGGCCTTTAATTTTCAGAAATAAATGTTTTGCACTAGTTTTAACCATTTACTATGCTGTTATAAGTCTGTAACACCCAGTACATAATAATTGTAATTTAAAATCCAAACAGATCCTCAATACACAGAAACCCACACTTGAGTGCTCTACTTTAATATCCTAGGCAATAGAGAATTACACACAAGATGAGAAAAAAAAACATCCCTCCAACCTTCCCTTAAATTAAGAGGAGACACACAAAGTGCATGTGTTGCATTTCAATCTGTTGGCCAGGTATATCCCTGTTCACTGATTAATACATGATCCACCTTTTTTTGAATTATCTTTTTAAAACCTTTTTATGTTGCCAGTGACAGGTAATGGATTTAAACAGTGCCTATTCAAAAGTCAGTTGCACCCAGTTCTACAAAAACAACATGTAAAAGATACTTATAATTTCCTTTCATTGAGCCCAGTATACAACAATCCACTGGAAAACCAAAGGACTGATACAGCAGTCCCTAAGAATTTTACTTACAGAATGTGCACACACTTGAACACATTTTCTTAGCTTTGCAAAAGTTACTTTAGAAAAGGAGTTCAGTAGATTGACTTGTAAATACCCATCTCAGATTTTAAATCTGCAAAAATCAGTCACTGCCATTGGGACAGGGTGAGATAAGGCTAAAATTTTTTTCCAAGTTAATATATTGAGAAAATAGAACCATAATTCTGCAATAAATCAGTATCTTTTATTATTTATTTAATTATTTATTCATTTATTCATTTATTTTAAAAGCAAACCAGTGAAGGAAAGGACAAAAACCTTTGGTTCACTTATGTATTTATGAATGAAAAAAATTTATAATGCAAATTCACTCATTAAAAAACTTAAGTACAAATTACATTACAGATAACCCTTTGTTTTGTTTCACATGGAGACCTTAGAGACTCAATTCATTTCAAGAGACCTAAGTACGAGTACTCCAAGTAAATATTACACAAATTGGAAGCATCTTGGATTTAAGTATATTTCAATACATAAATTTGTATGCATGCTTTAAACAAATAATATATTTCAAGAATGAGAAAGTCTAAACAAAAAGTATGACCAGCACCAGGATTGAAATTTTCTGATTTTAGTATTAGTCTGACATAGCGTTAGTAACCATGCTGCACTGAAACGTAATGGTACAATCTGAATCATGATTTGTTAAATATCATATCCCACACCCCCAGAATACTCAGGCTGGTCATAGAGTTAACTGTGTAAGTAAGCATATAAGCATAATCAGTTACAGACAGCCTCTTGTATAAATTGCCATTTAGCAATACACAAACTGCCTCTAAGATTTATGCTTACAGGTAGACATTCAATTATACCAATAAAACAGCATGTCCTGAAAATATGGGCACATTTTAAAACATTTTAAGACAAGTCTGTTAACCATAATAGTCCCACAGTATGACTGAGTAATAAGAACCTACTTTAAAAGCAAAACCTTTAATCAGTATAGTGCATGATTGATTCAACATAGTTCCCAGGGAACAGACCAGTCACTCGATTGCAGACTCCTTCATACCAGCCGTCATCATTCTTCTTTATTACGTAAATGATTGCACCCTCCATGAAGGAAAGCTCATCATCCTTGTCTTTCGTATAATCATATATTGCCACAACTATGGAAAAGACAGTTGAAATACCATGTTTAAGTGCACTATTTCCAACATTTAACTGAATTTTTTTTTATTTTTTTAATACATTTATTTTTAATTGGTGTTCAATTTGCCAACATACAGAATAACACCCAGTGCTCATCCCGTCAAGTGCCCCCTCAGTGCCTGTCACCCATTCACCCCCACCCCCACTCTCCTCCCCTTCCACCACCCCTAGTTCGTTTCCCAGTTAGGAGTCTTCATGTTCTGTCTCCCTTTCTGATATTTCCTACCCATTTCTTCTCCCTTCCCTTCTATTCCCTTTCACTATTATTTATATTTCCCAAATGAATGAGAACATACACTGTTTGTCCTTCTCCGATTGAGTTACTTCACTCAGCATAATACCCTCCAGTTCCATCCACGTTGAAGCAAATGGTGGGTATTTGTCATTTCTAATGGCTGAGTAATATTCCATTGTACACATAAACCACATCTTTATCCATTCAAATTGTAAAATGTAGTACCAATTAAATCTATAGTATAGCAAAACAAAGTATTTGTACAAATCCTGTTAATTCTTACATCAGTAAAAACAGGCAAGTCAGTGGCCAACCAGGTGCCTAAATCACTGCCTTGACTGTAGCATCACACTGACAGTTTGACTAGAGAGAAGTCAATAGTCTCAACCGATCTATCCAGGAAAGATCCTGGAGTTTTCATATTTATTAGATGTTTCATTTGTTCAAATATCAACAAAGTGCCAACCACTGCAAAACACCATTTTCCAAAATATGTACTGGGCAAAGCTACAGAGCCAATCAGGTAACAACCCACACTAATTTGAAACTACATATATCCTGGAAGGTCAATCTCATCCTACTCATTCACAGAAAATAAGCATGTAATTTATGGGGCCATCCCTAGATTTTTTTTAAGAGTATTTACATAAAGGTCAGAGTTTTTTAAGGGGGAAATAGGTGAGGAAAGACCCATTAATTAAGACTTAGAGAACTGTTTGTAGTTCTGTGGTATTCAATTATTTGGAGTTCAAAATGTTCACTTGCTTTTTTTTTTTTTTTTTTTTTTTAAGATTTATTCATTTGATAGAGAGCACAAGCAGGGGGAGTGGCAGATGGAGGGAGGAGGAAAAGCACACTCTCTGCTGAGCAAGGAGCCTGATGGGCCCTGGGATCATAACCTGAGCCAAAGGCAGACACTTAACCAACTGAGCCACCCAGATGCCCCCTATTCATTTTCTTTGTAAACACTGCTGTGGAAAGGACAGTCATCAAAAAATTACTAGTTTTCCAAATGGTTTATGAATTTAATTGTTCCTTCATTCTGCCTTTGTAGCTTGATAGTTCTCAAGTTATATGTAATTTTCTAATATATGTGAGATGGTATGTGACAGAGATTTCCATTGATTACCTCGTTTTTCTTAAAACAGTTCTTAGGACATTAAAGATATTCTGGCACTCGCTTTTCCCCTGAGAAAGACAACTTCTCCTAATTATTTTGAATTAGTGAATTATAAATAAGGACGAGACCTGAAGTACTGATCCATAGCACCATTTGCTAAATTAAAATAGCCAACATTCTCTTACCCCTTACAAAACTAATATAGTTAATATAAGTTACAGTTAATATAACTTCCCCTTTACAAAACTAATATAGTTAATATAAGTTATAGTTAATATAACTAATATAGTTACTTAATAAAGTAAACTCAACAAGTCCATTCTCCTCCATTTTAATCCTGCAGTAGAATCATAGTTATAAGCTCATTGACCCAAAAACATACAGAATAAATAGTACTAAATTATTATCCTGATATATTTTGACTAAATAACCACTCAAGAAAATTGAGTGATTACTAGAAAAGCGTTAGTAAGGAAAACATGGTAATAATTTAAATAGGCAACTAACATATTATTTATTGTCAATTATTATTTGCTTATTAGCACTGGTAACATTAATTTCTTTGTATTCAGAGTCACAAAAGGTTAGAGTTTGTGTAGAGGACTTTTAGACTGATTGTGACAAAAGCCCGATGTCCTCAAAGTTAGCAGAATGAAAACTGTCTTTTCTTTGTGCTTTTAGTTCTACTTAGACCACTTAGAGCTGGTAAGAGTACTGAACCAATTTGTTTCCATTTTCCAAGTCCTTTTAGTAAATGAATCCCAGTCATACCCAACTTCTCCTCCCCCAATGCATATATTCTCTCCTATAATATAATGCTTACAGCTGAGTACTTAGTCATTAACAATTCAGTGTCCATCCTACTTTCCAGAACCCTAATTCATATAAAGAGCTAAGCTCCGGGGATGCCTGGGTGGCTCAGTGGTTGGGTACCTGCCTTCAGCTCAGGTCGTGATCCCAGGATCTGGGATCAAGTCCTGCAGTGGGCTCCCTGTGAGGAGTCTGCTTCTCCCTCTACCTATGTCTCTGCCCCTCTCTCTCGAATAAATAAATAAATCTTAAAAAAAAATAGCTAAGCTCCCCCCATTCTGTATGGATTGTAGTCTTTTAGAACTCAAAGTCTACTACTCTAATCCTACTTCTACGCGATAAAAATTTGAAGACAGTGATCTAGTTCCTATGCAATCTTCTCAACCTAGAAACAATGCGTTCAACTGTTTCACATTATAGGTGCACTTCCTAGATATCTTGCCTCCTAAACATTCTCCTCTCAAAGGCATTCCTGTTTGCAGGATCTTAAACTGTGGTACTCAGAACTACACATAATACAAGTGTAGTATAAATGGATATGATCAGATTGGTATATATTAGGTTACAGTTCAGGTAAGGTACGCTAATAATCTGGCTTCTGGAAGTCCTGACATACCGTTGATTAATATATTAAAAAATTCCTTTTAAACCAGGTTTTATTCATCTTGATTATATAGGTAATTATTTAAAAAGGTAATTATTTAAAAATTTAAAAAATTATTTAAATATAATCGTATTAAATCTCAGCTCTCTGATTTAGACTACAGATTAGCAAACAATGGCCCATGGCTGAATCCAAGCCACTGCCTTTTTTGTAAAAAAAATTTTTGTTGAAACATGGACACATCCATTCACTTATGTACTGTCTATGGCTGCTTTTCTGCTACAACAGCAGGGCTGAGTAGTTGTGACAAAAGGGACTATATGGTTGGCAAACTTCATTTGTACTTCATTTTGTAATACAAACATCAAATTATTATGCTGTTCACCTGAAACTAATAGAATGCTGTTGTGTTAATTAAACTTCATTTTTTTTAAAGTTAAAAATATTTATTATCTGGTCTTTTACAAAACATGTGTGATGACCACTAACTTAAGACTATTATTTCAACTTAAAAAGACATTTTGTAATTCTGCTCTATTGCCAAATGTATTAACCATTATATCATTCACGTTTATCAACTTTTTATTAGTTCCATATTAGTGCCAATTTAAAGTTAAATTTGCATTTCCAAACCAGGAAATACAGGAACACAACTCAAGACTATTTAGCTTTATCAACCTCATAATGACCACAACATATCTCTATTTGAAGGTAGAGGAGAATCTAAACATAAAGTAGACTATTCAAGATTCCCTGAACATTATGTAGAATATTTACTATTTAAAAATATTTTAGGGCACCTGGGCGGCTCAGTGGTTGAGTGAGCGTCTGCCTTTGGCTCCGATTGTGATCCTGGGGTCCTGGGATTAGGTCCCTCATCCAGCTCCCCACAGGGAGCCTGTTTCTCCCTCTGCCTATGTCTCTGCCTCTTTCTATGTCTCTCAAGAATAAATAAATAAAATCTTTTTTGAAAATATAAATATTTTAAAAGGTACAGCATAGGGAATATAGTTAATAGCATTATAATAGCTTGTATAGTGACAGATGGTAGCTACACTTGTAGTGAGCCTAGCATAACCTACAGAGATGCTGAATTTTATATTGTAAACCTGAACTAATAACAATGTATCTCAACTATAGTCAAAAAATTTAAACACACATACATACACACACAAAAGGAAAACCACCAATTCCCTTTTAGCCATGTATTCAAAACTTTGGCACAAAAAATGGTGCAGGTCTCAAGAGCTACAGCCACTTGCTTAATGTTAAAGAGAGTAAAGGCCAATGGAAGGGAATGTATTTCAAAAGGCAATCAAATGTGCTTAACTACATTACAAGCATTTTTCAGAACTCGACAAATACAGATATTAAAATAGCACAGAGCTAGATGAAGAAAAGCAATTAACTCTAAAAACAGAATTTCTTTCTTTCCTACCACTATTTCTTAATACATAATTATAGTGAATGTCAAGTAATTTTGATAAATTTGGATGTTAGGGTTATACATAATTTCATGAAAAAAATCTAGTGATTATCTTCTCTTTTACAAGATCAACTAACTGAAAACTTTAATTGAGGCTTTTTCTGATAGTCTCAATATATTTTTAAATATTTAGATATAAAAGGTTTCTCTTTATTCTAAAAGCTTTGAAATTCTGTTTTAAATCTTTACTAATTACATAACTTTAGTAAGTATTTTAACTCCTATTTTGTACCTTGTTTCATCTATAAAAAGGAAACAGGCAAGTTCATCTCCAGCTGGAAACCTATGTCATTTGAAAAACCGCATCTAGCACTACAACATACTTTTAACTTAAAAAATAAAGATAATTCCTTTATACTGGAAATGTCTAGGAAATAAGGTTTAATTAAATTTTCTTGGTTGACAAAGCTATTCAAAGGGCTGAATAGACAGTCACTGGACTAGACACTGGACTATTTTTAATAAAGCTATTTATAGCTCTAAAATTCTGTAATTAGGTTAAGCTTCCTTTACCCCAATTCAATGATGACTATACCTTACCTTTCTCAATATAATTTTTGGGGGCCCAAGCAGGATCCCCATCTGCATATGGATCATTATACTGAACTACTGCAGCCTCCTCATCCTCATAATCCACTGGAGGTGGTGGTGGCGGAGGTGGAGAGTCATCAAACATGGGAATGTCATCTGGGGGAGGTGGTGGTGGTGGAGTTGGACTGTCAGCAACTAGAAGAATTCAGATAATTAATTTGAATCAGAAATTAGAGTAAATGAAAATTCTTAAAAGAATTTAAGAAAGCTCTAGTTTGTATATAGCATGCACTATAATAAAACATGCAAAGATTAGAAATAAAAGCTTGGTGTGTTAGAGCTTCTATTATTCTTAAGTAATTTTCCAATAATCCAATGAGCTAAAAATGAGAGTATCAGGAAGTGCTACAAAGTAATGAATGCAGCATCCTTTTATATGGATTACAGGAGTAAGAAAGTTTCCTTACTCCAAGGCTTGGATCAGAACAGATGTCACCCATTTGTTAGCCTACCTCTTTAAATAAGCCTGTGTCACATTTCTCATTTGGACTACTGTAAATGTTATGAATACCATTATATTAGGGTTTGATAACCATTCACTGCACACATTCAGGTCTCTGATTCTGGCTTTTAGTTCCCCAGAAATAAATCTCCAGTGAGTGGATTTTTATTTTTGTCTGTTTTAGTTGAGAAAAAAGTTGGCAGTTATCAGGTTGGCTTCTATGTGTATGTTTTCTATTCTTTTTTTAAAATTTTAACAGAAATTAAATGAGAAATTAAATTATTCCAAGTTAATACAAAATGTCATTGAGTATTTTTCAAAAGTATTTGTATTCACAATCAACTTTTTAAATGTAGAAAGGAAGCTAAGATTTTTTGCATTATTGCTAGTAAAACATAAACATAGGATGGGGGAAAGACTTGATCCTAAAGACCCAATTTTTTAAGAATATATCCACGATAAAGGTTTTTAAAATAAAGTGTTGCAAGAAGACGTAATTAAAAACGAACAGGAACTTATATCGTGCAAAACAATAATGACTCATACCTCAAGTTACAACTTGAGTAGATGGGTATGGTACATGTATGTGTGTGATTTAAATAATTGAACAGTGAAATGAGAAAAGGTCAGGCTAGAACTATGGACACTAAGCTATTATGATACTAGGTAATAAGTGCTCCCAATATTAAAGAATTTAAAGCCAGAACACACAACTAATTCTTAATACGAATTTCTGATCCTCAGATTTCTTCTTCTTATTATTATTAATTATTATTATTATTATTTAGATTTCTTTAAAAGTTAAAGACAGGAAAATGCTTTGACAGTAACTGATACAAAGAATTATATAATATCTGCAACGGAGAAACTCAGAATACCAACATACTAATTCAAATGCCAATTTCTGGGGCTATTTGTGTTATCAAAGCAAGCAGTCATAATCTATTTGTAATATAGGTTTTAAAGTTCACTCCACCCTATTTGGAATAATGGAGACTATAACCAAGAGATCCAGATTTAGAACATCTGTGGATAATAGCCCTACTTCCATAACCACTTCAATTCTGTGATTTTTATTTGATCCCATCAGGGAATGAGAAAGACTAAGAAAACAAATCCTGTGTAGTGATGCTCATTCTGATAGCTACAACAAGCACAAATATAATTTATTTTTCCATCAACTACTTGGAGTCATTTTATTTTTGCCTTTACCTTCTCCACAAAGCTTTCTGCTATTACTGACAGGAGAAGAAAATGGGTATGATCCATCTAACATCAAAGAGCCATAGCTCATATCCTTAATTTGGCTTAATGTGTAAATTATACGTTTGCCTGAATCCCTAAATTGCATTCACTCTTTACTTATACATAACTTACAAGTTTCATGTTTTCACTCAATCGTCTTCACGCCCATGTGAATCTACACTGGCTTATCTCCAAATTATATATACAAAGAGGCGGAAGACAGGGTCACCTTATCTAGCACCACACATAATTAGTTCAAAAATGCTTTCTGATGCTAATCATACACAAAGTAAACACATTGACTTTTTTTAAGGGCTCATGCCTTAAACTGAAGCACACTTAATAGGTTAACTGCCACAGGCATTCATTATCATTAAATCTGAGTACCACAGAAAACTGCATATTTAAGAGGAAAACAAAGAAAATTTGTACTCCATAAAACATGTAAGATACTGATACAGTTTATAATCAATCTTCCTAACATGCTTTCAAAGAAAATAGATCCTAAATAAAGTTGTACATTCTGCAGCGCAAGGATAACTGATTCCAGTTCCTAAGTCCGGGGAAAAGAACTAAAATAAAATAGTAAGTACCATGGTCCTCAGCAAAAAACATGCAAACCTAAAATTATATACATTAATACTGAATTTCTATTAAAAAAAAATAAAAGAGTTACCAAAATGCTAGTCAATATACTTTGGCCCCACTAAATGGATGTTTATTACGGCTATTTTCAAATATTTCCTCTCAACTTAACTGTAAGGCAGCTCAAGTTTTTGAATTCTTATAACATCAAGAACCAGCAATTTTTCCTTACTCACTTTTTAAAAAATAAGATTCACTTTTTTTTTATAAGTTTAAACATATTGGAGTTTTCAAACAAATGTTAACAATGAGGATGGTTTACACTCAGAAATTTCAACATTTTGGAACTACAACGTTTTATAAAAAGCCCATTCAATCATACATGTTTCTTAAAGATAGTGGGATCTTTGTCTTAGACTATTTGTACTCTTCCCAAAGCCTAGCACATAACACCAAATAAACAATTATTTGACTGGAGGAAGGGAAGAAATGTGGAGAATTACACAACAGTGATCAATCAGCAAGAGCTGAACAATGGAATTTGCCACAATGCATTCGCCCGGAAGATGAGGCAGTCATGTGGGTTACACATTTGTTCAAACCCTTCTAAAATTTATTTGCATGGTGATGATCCCAAATGAAGTAAATCACTACTAGACCACCTTACCATCTGTCTTAAGTTCAACAGCTATTTTGGCATAGTTATAACTCAGTAATGGTGGTATTTTTTATTTTGTCAAGTAACATTCACTCTGATCATGTAAATTAGGATTATACAATTACCTCAACATAATCAGGTAGCAATATAAACTACTCTATCCTAATCAAATCCACGTATTCAAAAGAATTTCCACAAATCACTAACCTGACCTGCTTGAGACAGAAGACCTAAAAGCTGACATATATGCATGTTCAGAAATACTCCTCAGGCCTGCATGTAGCCCAAACACAAAGAGGCTTGCCATTATCACTCTTATATGGATAACCTGGATGTAAATTACTCATTCTGAAGATTCATTCTTATCCTAACAACAAATCTTTACATAGGTTCAAAATTCACTAAAATGTTTATGTAACTAAAGGAAAAAAAAAAAAAAAACCTGCCCCCAATGCATAATAAATTTAATCTCATACTGTATCTATATGCTGATGAATTTGTTGGCAGCAGAATATAAAATATTTTCTAATCTCCCTAATAACTGTTGGAAGCTGGTAGTTTCCATACAATTCGAATTTTTATGTTTGATTACGCTTTCCTTAAGAATCAGCAAAGATCAGATTTGATATTTTAGATCATGTAAATAACATAAGAAAGCTGCAGTTTTGAAACTTATATGGGTCAGTAATCATGCAAACAAGAGAAAAAAACTGAAGACCGTGCTCTTCAGTTTCAAATACGTATCTGCACCTATTTTCAAGATAAGATTAGCTTCTCAATAAAAGTAAGAAAATGATGACTCATCAGCCATGCATGCTATAAGGAGACAGCCTCTACTCTTTGACAGCTCAGTTTTTCCAAACTTACTGTTTTCCTGCACCCTGGCCACGAAGCCTGTGAGAGGTATCTGTGGAGTCAACTGAGGCATAGGGGGAGGGGGTGGAGCAATAGAAACTGGTAGCAACAACACAGTATGGGGGAAGTAAAACAGATAAAGGAAAGAAAAGGAAACAAACAAAAAGCAGAAGTCAGTTACAAGGACCACAAACATAAGTATGCAAAGAACAGTTTGCAAATGAAACAAAACAAAACAAAAACAAAACAAAAACCTGCAGAACCTTCTTCAAGTTCATTTCCCACCAGCAAACCTAAATGGAGTTGTTGCTTAGCCAACTGGTTAATTTTTTAAAAATACATTTAATGTAATCCTAACGTTATACTGTTTGAGGAAGATTTAAGTTTACCATTACACTCATTTTCATGTAAAGAATTTTCAAATTCTAAGGAAAGACTTTAAAAAAAATGAGTAACACGAAATATAGATAAAGGTTTCCAGGACATCATGTCTTTGTCATATCTCTATAGCGTAACAGGTATGTCTAGCTTTAAGGTAATGTTGTAAATTAGACCCCAAATAAAGAAATATGTTATGGAATAAGTGTTTATTTCATATATAAATATATACATTAATCACAGGTTTCCTTTAAAAACAGTTCTTATTATATACCTAAATTTACACACAGCTCTCCAGGAAAAATCCTTGTTATGGTAAAACAAGGTCATTATTATTTTCTAAAGCGATGGTTTTATTTTTAAAGATAGCACTCCTAAATTTACTAGGGAATAAGAGTGCTCCACATACCATGTTAATTGTTTACTGAGTTTCATAGGTAAGTATTTCAAAAAGGACCTTCTTCATTTTATCACTATTCTGAAAATAGGAAACCTGATCTCACAACAGGTTAAAATATGCAATTACTTTCATTAAAGTAATTTCTAATGAATCATTGAGTAGCTGTAAACATTCCAACTTCTTTCTGGAGGGGACAATTTATAGGAAACTGATATCAAATGCTCATGTGGGCAGCAAATGTTATTAAAAACTATAGCAAACTATATGTAAACATTAATAAGTTTACCATTTTGTCTCATTTTAACAAGACAGTAACTGCCAAAGATTGCTTAGAAAAAGTCAACAGGGATTGAGTCGCAAAATTGAGTTTACTGGCAGTCACCAAAACATGACACAAATTGTCAGAGAAAAATAATTTATCGGTTTCCAAGGATCATTTAACCAAAAGGTCATTTCAATTAACCCAATGTATAATTGGTAAGCATAAAAATTTTAAAGAGGTTCAGTATTCAAAGCAGCAATAACTTACCAAAGCCATGTATTGCATTAATATTCATTTTATGGCTAAAAGTAACATTCAACTCACTATGAAATTGATCTTCATTGATTCTGATACTTTGGATATAGAAGGCTCTTAAATAAAATGTTACAGTGTTGATTTAAAACAACAACAAACTTCCCACAAGCCTAAAAAGTTTGTTTAGAAACAACCCTTAGTATCTAGACATGCTGGTTAGTACAGAGAGAAAAAGAAAAGCTATGCTATGAAGATACTAGTCATTACCACCACATCTGGACAGAAGGGGAAATATGCACATCAAAACACTAAAAACATCTACATACTACTACTACTACTACTACTACTACTACTACTACTACTACCACCACCACCACCACCACCACCACTACTACTACCACTATTACTATAACACCAACAGTAAGTCGGATTGTGGAATAATTATTTTGATGCATATTTTCAAAACTTGAGTCCAAATTTCCTTTGTAATATCCAAAAGATATAGCCATTCAGTAATGAAAAGGTCTTATTTGAGAATAAGTAATCCTCCCCAACACTGTTAAAATAAAACTACACAAACATGTATTAGGTGAAGTGTCACCAAAAACCCTACTTGCAGAGTAAACTAAATATCTAAGTGAGGCAAAGAAAAATAAAAAACATAAAGATGAGATCTAAAAACACAACATATTATGAAAAAAAAATAAAAGATCATAAAACTACTAGGCTAATAAACAGATAATCCATGGAATATTCAGACTAGCTACCTTTCATTACCAAAAGGAAATCAGGGAAAATGTGAGATAAAATTCTAACTGGTAAAGTTTCTCGGTAGGTAGCCTGGACGAAAATTTTAGTTTGGAAAAGTACTGTATTAATTTGGGGATTATCTGTGAATTCTGACATTTTTGCTAAAGTGTTATTCAATTCTTAGGAGTTTTCTTACTAGAACATAATCTTTAACTCTAAAATTTACATTGGAAAAAATAAGAGAACTTTCCTTTAGCTCTGCTTTAAAATACATTTTCAGAACATGCATTATAAACTTTAACTTCTTAGGAAATCAGAGTATTCAGTACTTTTTACCAATATAACATGTGGCTCTAGAAAATAGTTACAAATGCCACATGGGAAGGTGTGTTCGAGTCTATGCCAGTGTTCGCCTCTTCAAGCCAATAATAAATACTGGACAACAGGCTCATTTCAGAATTTTTTTCCTTTCTGAATTCTGCATCTTAGCATGGAAAGTGGTATTAATGATTACTCTAAGCAATTCATACTTCCTGCCATTATATGCTAAAACTATTTTTCTAATCTTTAATATCTTTAAGCCTTTAAAAACACCAACTGCAGTTAGTGTTGAGATGTGCAATTTGACATGAAGAGAAAGAAATCAGAAGAAAATCCTCCCCACTGTTACAGTGATTAGAGACAGAATAAGCAGGCATCACAAATGTTTTTAATGGTTTTGAGCTTATTTCAATACAGGTTAACAAGCTTAAAAGTGATAGCCAGCAATTTCATTATACCATTTAAAGAAAATTGTTCGCAATGTTCTTACTGCTACTGAAGTGTCTCAAATGTGGCATTAAAATTAAGTCAGCTTAATTTCAGTATTTTTCTTCTCTAGTTCTATTTATAGTAATTAAAATGTTAAATCATTAGTTACATTTTAATATGTAAGTATATTCAGTAAGTCTGAATTTTTTTCAAAGTGATAAGCAATTATTTTTGTGATAAGCGGTAATTCTTAAAATGTCAGGATTCAAGGACTGACTTCCTAAAGCCAAGAATGAACACGAAATAGCATGGTTTCAATTGTTGTCTATCACTGGCAAGAACAACAGCTTCAAATAATTTCCTTCAAAAGGAACTCCACTGTTGCTGTACGCCTGCAAAGCACAAGCTTACTTGAATTCTGAGAATAAAGTGGACCTCCATTAACATGAGGTTGAGCAGAAAATTGAGCAGTCACAGAGGGAGTTCGTCTGTATCCACCAGAAGATGTCGAGGAAGTGGTAGAGTTGTGTCGAGAAATCTGCCTGGTCATTGTGCCATACTGGGAACCAGGAGCTGAGCCCGGGGCTGCGGAAAAGCATTAGTCAAAAGCAACCAACAAAGAATGTGAGCACAACATGTCACCTCCGATGGCAGAACAAAGAGAGGGGGACTCTCAGTAAGAAATATTTATTACTTTTTAAAGCCCACAGCACAAAATAAAGAGAAATGTGAAGATAAAACACAAATAGCTAGCTCTCTGAAGTTACAGAAGGAAAAAGAGATACTGTGTAGACAGCTGCAAAAGTAAAATAACATTCTTAAACCTTTTAATTTAGCAGACTCTCAAATGTTATTTTGCTAATATCATATATAATTTTTAATGTATCATTTAAGAATATATAGGTTTTACATGGGAACTACATCTTTCCAACAAAAGCAGTACCAAAAGGTAATCTGAGATGGAACACATCAGTTTTCAGATGTGACTGTATTAACAATGTATTTACAAACTTCCTTTTCCATCACCAGATCTTCAGGAGCACACAGGTTAAATTATAAAATGTAAAGAGGCTAGCATATTTTCCACATATACTGCTGTATTTATGTGAATGTTTATTGTGTTAGTAGTTATAATCAAATACATATGACAGCAGAATCATTTTTACGAGAAGCACAATTTCTAGTTTCAAAGCACTTATAGATAGTATCAGATATTTGTCATCTATTTCCAAACTTTTAAGACTAACACACTTTCCTTTTCTTTTTTTTGTTTTGTTTTTACACTTTCCTTTTCACTTACACTTTTGTAACTGACAAAACTGTAAGTAATTTTAGACTTTGTAAAGTAATTTTAGAATTTTAAAGCAGCTTTATGTAGAAAATCCATTACCTTTCTCCATACTTGGAGGGTTTGTTCCATCCTATACCCAAAACGATCTTTTTTTTATTTATCATGCATATCTAGAATTACTAAAGTACTAACAGTACTTAAAATTTCATTCAATATCATCTCTACCAACATTTCAAAAGTTTAATATTTCAAAGGTTAATAAAGTTCAAAGCCTCTAAAGTTAACCATACTTTCCAAAGGTAACTTCAGGACTAATGTTAGCCTCTTTGCCACAGCCAAACATCTAACCACCACTAAGTAAGTAAAACTAGTTTATTTTCAATCAGTTGTGTAATTTAACCTCTCCTAAAGGTCATACAAATTATTACATAAAGCCATACAGCAGAGGTTGTTCATTTTAAAAAGTGCTAATAAATTTAACATTTTGGAGCTCCCAAGCCATAGGCAGTCACTAATTATCTGAATCATCCCCAGGCTCATTTTCTAAATAGAAACATATTTTAAAAATAATACTGCATTCAAGAGCCTTCATGAATAAGTAATTTTGGTTAGCTAGGGTTTCCACAGAGCTAAGAGGTAAATCTTTAATTGTTTTTAATAGAGATCTCTGTAAAATGATTTTTATATTTCTGACTTAAATAAAAAGTATATGAAATCGAAGTCATTTTTCTTGGTGATCTAAAATTGAAAACCAATCATTCAGCAGTTCCCAAACTGAGCCTATTTCAGAATTTAATGTTTTATTATGAAATAAATCATGATGCCAAAGGGTATATGCTTTAGATACAAAATTGTTATATACAGTAATACTACATATACATATAGTTATATATATACTAATATGTATAATATGTAGTGGTTATATATAATTTATTTACATAAATTTACATTTATATAATTTATTTTTTTCATTTATATATAATTTAAAGAAAAATAAGATAAATACCCAACTCCATTAAACAGTATATTATCAGTATCACCAAGTTTGCATCTTCTAGATCCCAAAACTCAAAAGGTGTTAAACATTCTTTCTTTACAGTTTAAATCACAGCTATATATAAACTTAAGCAATACGCAATACACAGAAAAATTATAATTTATAAGCTTTTATAATGGAGTAATTATGCATATTGTTGGCTTGCTCCTTTTTTAAGATTCATCCCTGTTGGCAAGCATATCAATGTTGTATCATCCATTTCTGTTGCTTTATTTGCATGTGAGCATGACACAACTTATTTATCCATTCTATTGTGATTAAATAATTGGGTTGCATCTGGATTTCTGCTAATATTAATGCTACTACTATGAACATTCCTAAATGTGGGGTTCCTAAATTTCTCTACAACACTTGTTCTCAAACTTCAGCATTAGTCAGAATTTCACCATGAGGGCTTGTTATAATACAGACTGCTGGGCTCCAGTCCTCAAAGTTTGAGTGAGTCGTAGGTCTAGAATGGGATCTGAGAATTTACATTTCTAACTAGTCCCCTGTGATGATGATGATGTAGTTGGTCTGGGGATCACACTCTGAAAGCCAATGCTCTAGAACACAATGGTCTTAGTTTTACTCTTTAAAATTAGAGAACCTCAAAAAGCTTTTGCAGAGGTGGGTTATAGCAACAGGTAATTACTATAATAGAAATTAAAATTGACAGACACATCTGTAAAACACATGACTATATAAACATTCTATTAGCTGTCACAGCAATGATTCTGTTGTAAGTCATACAAGCCTCTGGAAACTTCCACTGTATACTTGTACCAGAATGAGAATTAAAAAGGCAAATAGGTCTTCGAATTATGACTAATATAGTTCTGACCTCAAAAACTCCATAACAGGATCTTAGCAACCCCCAGGGGTCTTGTAGCCATATTCTGAGAACCAGTACTCTAGGGCAAATATCTAGAAATGAAATTATTAAATCTAAGGTAAAAACCTGTTCAACCTGACTAGGTAACAATTACTTTCCAAAGTGAATGTATCAACTAATAAACTCCCACCAGCAGTGTACTAGTTACTATACATCCTCATCAACATTGGGTACTAGTAAGCTTCTACATTTCTACTTATGAGGTGGATATAAAATAGTATCTCACTGTGATTTTAACTTTCATTTTCCTAATTATTAACTAGGTTGGGGACTTTTTTTTCACATGGATTTTCTGACAGTAATTTTTATTATTAGGATCTTTTTATTACCTCCTTTTGCCCTTTTACAATGTTTTGAGAAGATGTGGCTGAAACTCAGCTGTCATTTGAAACATTTCTATCCACCTCTACCCAGATTATTGCTCTGATGTATTTCTAGGCTAAATGTTTCATACTGAGTCTGTATTCTGAATTCCTTATATGCTCAATCTAGTTACCTCCAATTTAGGAACAATTTAAATGTATCAGATTAAAAAAAAATTTCTTGGCATCCTAGATTCCAAAGCACTGAACTATATCAAAGTTTTCACATGGTGATCCACAGGAAAGCCTCAGGAGCACCCCACAACCACACATCATTTCTTTTCCATTTTAATTCCTCCTGTCCCCCATCTTCACCCCAATCCTTTGACTGTTGTATACACCAGGGAGTTCCAAATGAAGTTTCATGTAAAAAAAATATATATTACATTACAAATTTAAAAATATCTTTTTGAACAATCACTGCTATAATTTTCCTAAAAAATATCAAAACAAATATGAACCACATTTAAATCAGTTACAAATTAAGCATAAAAGCATTTCACATTTCAAAGAATGTGATTTTATATTTAACTATATAACTTCAGAGGCCTTTCACCTGAAGAAATTAGTGTAAATTAGATTAAAACTTTAACCTTTGTATTACCACCAACAACCTAATAACTATAAAAGCTAGCAGTCTAACAGAGGAGTTTATTATGAATTACACAAAGTAAGTTAAATCACTCCAGTGGTTATGCAATCTCACCTATCACAGTGTTCACTGGGAGAAGTGGTGGAAGAGGTGGTGCTGGTGGAGCTCCAGAAGGAGGAGGGACAGAAATGTTTTCTAATAAAATAGTTTATAATTCAGGTCAGAGTGCAAGAAAGAGAACTAAACATTCTGAAACAGTAAGAAAGTACAAAGTTTCGGAAAGAAAAAAAAAAAAAAGAGACACCGATAATGTAAAGCATGTCCAAATGAATATGAATTCATTTTACTAGGTAAAAAAAGGACATTGAGTTCATACCTGCATTAACTGTAAAATATGCCTGTTTTTATAAGCAGCTTTTTCTTCTTCAACAATCTCTTTGAGAAGCTAAGAATTTTTCCTAACAGTTTTGATTATGAAATATGTATTTTTAACATTATAAAGTATTTATATCATTTACTAAAAAAAAAATCAAGGAACTAATTTAATGCTCTGCAACAATTTCTTAAATTTTTCTAAAATCTAAAGAGTAAAAAAAACTTTTCCTATTTTAATCTCATGTTATATTATTATTTTACTAGAATATGTATGGAGTATTATACCTAAATGTAGAAAAGTCACAGAACAAGCTAACGCCAGAGTTGAGACACTAGCCTATAAAGCAATGCCAGAACTCACTGGTATTAAAAAACAGTAACAACAACAAAACTCACCAGTATAAAATATACATTAAAGACACTCATCCTTTGAAGTATCACCAATATTGGTTTGCTCCTGAAATATCATTCTTGACTAGTGCCCAAGGCAAGTTATTTCTAAAGCAAAATGGCCCAGAAGATATTTAATGATGTTATGTAATATGTTTTATGTGTAAGAAAAAAAAAGTAGTAAATTCCTAAAGTCTCTGTGATAGTCTCCCTAAAAATGTTTAAATTTGTAAACATTTCTTCTAGCTACAATCACATAAATTTAATAAGTAAATTTTATCTAATATAACTATTTCAGATTTCATAATAAAGCTCAAATTCTAGCACATATTAAAACAGATTAATACACCAACATACCTGGTCCAACAGTGGGCGGTGAAGGTGTAGGCACGGCGATGGGAATGCCAATACTGCTGCTTCCACTGTTCTCTCGACTTCCACTCCCTCCACTGCTTCCACTGCAAAGAAATAAATTTGAAAACAGCCATTCTAGAGATTTATCCAAAGACAAATTCAAAGCCATTAAATACTCCTTTTATGGTGTGTGTGTATGTTAAATATAAAAAATTAAAAGTTTTAAAAACTATTCAATACAATTTTACCCCTAATACCTAAAGTAGTTCTCGTGTTTTACTCTACTTCTCAAACTACTGGAATTTAATATAATCCTAACATAGTACACAGAACCATCAGAAGAGATCATCTATTGAGAAATGAATGACCAATAAAATCTTATGGTACAACAATCCAACAAGACTAATTAAGTAACCAAAGCAGATATGAACCATGTTTCCACTGAGCTCACAGTTGAGAATGGGAAAACAGACGTTAAAAAAACAGCATTAGAGATGCCACAAAAGAAAATATACAATATGTGATGGAAGTTAATAAAAACTGTAACCAGTTTCAGTCTGGAATTAGTACAAAAATCTCGATCCCATCTTCAAAGAATGGTGATAAAACAGGGAAATTTCTGGAAAATGAGTAAACCGACCAAAAAAAAAAAAAAAAGTAAAGCTTCAACATGGAGCATTCTAGAAGAGTTGATAATGTTAAACTCTAACCAATTCCTTACTATTCTAATTCCTATAGATTTACTGTACATTTAGGCATATGATCTCATACTTGCAGTTTTTAGTAACATGTGCATGTATATGTATTTATGCACATGTGTAACCTTTGGCTCCATACTGTCTTAAAAATCAACATCAATGGCTCAACAGGTCCAGAAACTCAAGAGAGCAAAGACTTGTACAGCTTAAACAAAATTTTGTCCTCCGATATGATTATTCTATAATTACATTATCATATGTTAATAGAAGAAGAAAAACAGAGAAAGCTGTTTATATACCATAAAGTGCTTGAATGTGAAGGCCTCTCTACTGCCTGAAGCCAGGTGATCTATTAATACTCCGCTTTGTGCTGGCACTGCATCATAGACATATGAAGTTTTTGTATTTATTATACTCTTCTACAATTACTGGCTTATAGGCCTTTTTTCTCACATAGGGGTTGGAAAATTATAGCCCATGGGCTGAATCTTACTCCTGGTCCAATTTTTTCAACCTGTGAGCTGAGAACATTCTTTTCATTTTTAAATGGTCAAAAAAATTTAGAGGAATTTTATGACACGTTAAAATTTTATGAAATCCAAATTTCAGTTCCATGTACAAAGTTTTATTGGAATGCAGCCATGCTCATTCATTTATGTGTTGTCCATGGCTGCTTCCATTCTGCAATGACAGGGCTGAGTAAATGCAAGAGACCATATGGCCCACAAATCTTAAAATATTAACAATCTGGCCTTTTATTAACAAGTTTGTCAATCCCTGTTCCAACAGAATGAGCTTCTGGAAAATTAAACTATATCTCATGGGCATATCCCTAGTACCTAATAAGTAACTCTTAGTAACTAGTTGCTGAATATGATTAAATCCTTCCACTATAGAAAAAAACCATCCTTTGAATTATTATTCAAAAACAAACACAAAAATTTGGTTCTCACTTAACTTGACCTGATACAGTAACTGAAAATTTCAATATAATAATTTATTTACTAATAGTATCAATTACATAGCACTTAAGAGGCTTGACACAGCCTATTTAATTGAATCCCTCAAAATGATTTTGCTAAGTTTCTCTAATATATCAACCTAAAAGTCAAGGTAAAGAGAGGTTCCTTGCCCAAGTTAAATAATAGATTAAAATGAAGAAAAAAATAAATTAAGCTGTACAACAAATTTGTCTGACTTTTACAAAAGTACCCAAACATGGAGTGGCTATACTGGGAGAAAGAAAGTAAAGGCTATAATTGGGAAAGGGCCTAAAGGGGACTTCCGGGCTGCTGGGAATACTCCACTTTCTGATCTGGGGATGATTATGTGGGTGTATTCAATTTGTATTAAACCATCAAGTTGTATACTTAATACACTGTAGGCTTTATACTGAATGGATGTCATGCTCCATAAACAAGTTTTTAAAAAATCCACTGGGAGGGGATTTCTAGAACTTTTTTTTAAAACAACTTAAATGTTCTCTAGTATATCAACTCTCTTAACAAACTCTTCCTCCAATTGAAGGTGTCTTTCTTCGTCCAACCTCATAAAGTTTAAATCACATTGCATAATTTCCGATATTTCAGTCTTTATCCAAAAATATTTAAGAGTGGTTGCCTTGATCTTTTTTAAATAACTGTTTTAAAACATTCTTTAGGCCTTGATCCAAATATATATTTATACTTCCATCAAAAAGAAAACATAGTAGCAAATCTGTAATTAGTTTAAACCTGCTTAACACCTAAAAAAGAGAGGAATTATGGCACAAATTTATTTAAAGAAACATATACAATATGATTACCCTCATCTTTTATATTCTATATTAGCATTAGAGCAATACTTTACTCAGCAACTTTTCAGGAGTTTGTCACCAGTCAATAACCCAACCCCCATTTGCCAATATTCAAAGACTCAACCTGAAGGTTTACCTGTGTGTCCTTGGTCTCTGGTTTAAAGAAGCTGTCCTGCCTGGACTATGTTGACTTCCAAGCCTAGCAGGACTTGTCATGTAGTCATTAGGAACTGTTGGGGGCTTAACAGGTTCCAGAGTTTTATAAGGAGTATTTCGTCTAAAGAAGCAAAACAGAGAAAAAGAATAATGAGTAAGAAAGATTAAATGGTATTGTCACCATATTTGTGATTGTCTCTTTGTAACCAAGTATAACACAATTTTTCTTTATCTGTAATAATAAAGTTTTGTTTGAAAAAATTCTTGGGGAGGATCCCTGGGTGGCTCAGCGGTTAGGCGCATGATACTGGGGTCCCAGGATTGAGTCCCGCGTCGGGCTCCCGGCATGGAGCCTGCTTCTCCCTCCTCCTGTGTCTCTGCCTCTCTCTCTCTCTCTATGTCTATCATAAGTAAATAAATCTTTAAAAAATTAATTAATTATATATTGTTCCCAGCCCAGTGACCCACAAGCCACTGTCCTTGTACATTATGAAAACAATGTACCTCCCCTAAAATTTACTCCTACTTCAGTACAGAAATATATGAACAAGTACATTCTGATACCATTCTGATATATTCTGATACCAAAAATGCCATGTATTTCTCAATAAATGATTTTAACTTTTCTACTTAATAGCTTCCTATGTTTTTTTCAGGGGCTAAGGGTTTACAGAATGAAAATGGAAACTAAGATTCTGTCAAAATGTTGACTATCAATCTCTGTTACTATAAAATAATGATTCCTCACCCCTCTACCAAAAACAAGAAATCTACTATATTGCTTCCTACGTTAAGATCAACAATCGTTCAAAGATGTCTTACCAATCAGTCTATATTTTTGCTGCACTTAGAAGGAAGAAACCACCAACTATTATCTTTTCTATTTCTCCAATTGGCCTACATGCAAAACTTAAGTATAAAGGGCCCTCAGATTATCAGTAGAAACACAGTTCAGAGTTCTCCAGGTAAAGAGTCCCCCTGCAGGCTATGAAGCCAAACCACATAAAACACATCGCTAATTCAAACTCCTGCAATAGGAATATTGTAAACACATATGAAAGCACCATATGGAATCATCCTGCAATTTCATTAGAAATAAACTTGGGCTAGACTCCCCCCCCCCAAAAAAAAATGAATTAGAAGGTAAAAACTAGGGATGCCTGAGTGGCTCAGCAGTTGAGCATCTGCCTTTGGCTCAGGGTATGACCCCAGTCTGGGATTGAGTCCTGCATCAGGCTCCCTGCAAGGAGCCTGCTTCTCCCTCTGCCTGAGTTTCTGCCTCTCTCTGTGTGTCTCTCATGAATAAATAAAATCTTAAAAAAAAAAAAAGATAAAGGGGATCCCTGGGTGGCGCAGCGGTTTGGCGCCTGCCTTTGGCCCAGGGCGCAATCCTGGGGACCCGGGATCGAGTCCCATGTCGGGCTCCCGGTGCATGGAGCCTGCTTCTCCCTCTGCCTGTGTCTCTGCCTCTCTCTCTCTCTCTGTGTGACTATCATAAATAAATAAAATTAAAAAAAAAAGATAAAAACTAAATAATGCTTATTTGCACATATACAAAAGATTCTTTCTAGTACAGACTTCTATAGAGAAAATTATAAAACAAGCAGATTCTGTTCAAGGAAAGAAGAAACAAAATGAATTTGTAGGAGGTAGTTCACATTGAGAGCGTCCCACAGCAAAGACCCATACACTTATTTAAGTCACAGAAACATCTTTCTCTTTAGCATATGCCTTTTCTTGTAAAATGTAGTTGCATTCTTACCCCAGCGTTCCCCGGCCTGACATGGGAGGGCTCGGTGGTTTCTGAGTAGGAGGATTTGTTCTCGACAGTGTGCCAGTTCTTGCAGGCTGGTTATTTCCATGCTAAAATGTGGAAAGAAAAGCTTTTTATTTTTATATCAAATTGTTCTGTTGGTGTTTTGACACCATGTATTATTTTTTTTTTAATATCAGAATGTGAAGTAAGGATTCCCAGACAGTTTTAATAACTGACTTTGGTACTACATTTTAAAAAGTCAAGAAATTTCCACTTGCACAAAGCTTTTTCTCCTATTATCTGTGCTATCCAGATCAATTTATGGCAAATACAGATATGATTATTGGATTTTATACATTATTTTACTGTTAAACATGTTCACTGAGATCAAACTTAGCTGCATTAAAGTATTGGATTTCCAAAATTTTTTACATGTGTACATGAATAAAAACTATAGATCTCAGTGTCAACTTGCTAAAACATTAATCTGAAAAATCATCTTTATCTTAACAATTCAGTAACAAAGTCATATGTGTCTGGAAAACCTCCTAATTGTTAAGTCAATAAAAGCAAGGCAACTATCCAAAAAAATGAGCAAAGCAATAAATGTTAGCAAAATTAATGTTCCTATATAAATGCAGATGTCAATATATCATTGATATATTAACACATCCAAGCTAAATGTTGCTGATTTGAACTGAGTTTATTTAATCTACATAAATCCTATGGGAAAAAAGCAGACAGACATAGGAAGAGTTTTCACATTTTAGTGGCTCTGCAGCCTTTATCAAAATAGAGGGAATACTGTGGATCAAATGATAAGTAGTATCTCTTACCTTGGCTTTTAGCCACTTTACGTTGGCAAAAAAGGGGGGGAAAAAGTAGAAATTAATTCTAAATAAATTGTATCTAATAGGACACGTTTACATTTATAGTCATTCAATTCATGTTAATAAGCTTTTACCCAGCCATATTTCAAATATTTTATAAAGAAAAAAATCCATAAGCAATAGGGAAATATTCACATGTATTAAATATTTTCCAAAAAAATATATTCATAAGGAAAACATCACTAAATTATGCCGATCCCATGAAGGCCCAATAATGTCTTATATCAGTATTTATCCCATGAAACTAATCCAACTGAATTACAGATGATAAACACTGATTTAAACACAAACATCTAACACATTCAATGTAAGGCTACTTTAACACATCAGTGTACCAGACGTAAGGCTTTACCAAACAATCAATGCTCAAGTATTCATCAGATGAATGGTAAAATAGTATTCTAAAACTGATAAGCTGTAAATGCTAAAATTCAAAATCACATGGTGCTTCCAAATTCAGAAAAAGACCTAGTACCTGAGTATTAAAAAAAAAATCCCTATGCACAATAGCACCTTAGCCCGATATACAAACAAGGTCTAGGGGATCCCTGGGTGGCTCAGCGGTTTAGCGCCTGCCTTCGGCCCAGGGTGTGATCCTGGAGTCCCGGGATCAAGTCCCACATCGGTCTCCCTGCATGGAGCCTGCTTCTCCCTCTGCCTGTGTCTCTGCCTCTCTCTGTGTGTCTCTCATGAATAAATAAAACCTTTAAAACAAACAAACAAACAAACAAACAAACAAACAAGGTCTAGAAGCCCTCTCATTTGTAATTTATGAATCTAAATCTGAGCAGGCCAAAAGCAGAAGGTATAGGTTGCTTTTGTTCTAAGTTTTCTTCTGAACCAGTTTAGACAAAATTCAAAACTGAAGAAAGATTGCTTTGATCCTAAAGGCTACTCCTATGAAAGATGACTAGCCTATATATGAAATAACATGTACTACAAATAATATGAAATACTGTGTATGTCCTAAAGCATCACTACTTGTACCATGCCACTTAAGAAATACCTTTAGGTTGTAGAGTCTAACTTTGTATATATTGGGGTCTTAAGTTCTTTGACATTTGTCTTTCTAAATATGAATCTATCATTTTTCAGGTGACATAAAGGCAACCATTAGGAAAGTCAACCAAAGAAGGAATGTACTTTGTCTTGGATATATTCTTATTTCTAGGAATTAGGCCAGAATTTTAGTATTCTTTAAATGTTTGTTTAGAATGATATTGCTCATTTTCATCAATGTCTAGAATCCTACCTAGCTGCTACATATTACATCTGGATTTAGAAAGTGTAAACCTGAGTAACATTATTATCCTTGGAAATAAGATATACTAATGTGACAGCATCTCAATACACTAAATATTTCTAAAATAATTTAGAAATATTCCAAATATGACCACGTATCTTGTTTCTACTGAACAAGAAAAAAAATAGCATTCAAGTATAAACTGATCCCAAGTGAAAGAATGAATGGAGAATTGGGGAATAAAAACTCTAGCAGAACTCTGCTACTGTGTAATGATGCAACCTTTAACCTTATATGAAGTTCTGCCTTTTCTATCAAGTGTGTATTTATATAGAAGTGTCTGAGTTTGAGAGTATTACAAGGAAATCATCTCTGTATCTTACAGCTTAAAATACTGTAATTGCTAGCAACCAACAAGATTTATCCACTTAAAAAATCCCCAAAACACATCCAAACTAGACTTTTATTTCCTTAAGATCTCACTTCATTTCTTTAATATTTACATTAACAGGCCACTTTACCATGTCCTTGGAATCTCAGGTTGAAAACAGGATTCTCTTTGATTCCTCCCTATCTTCTGACCCTGAGTAAATTATAAGCCTTGTATACCACAGGTGCTGTCCATAAAAAAGGCCAATCCTTTCTTTGCTATGACTCATTAGTTTACTCTTTTAATACAAATGAAACCTTCAAAAAATATCATTCCTATGTATATATTATAAATACTTAGTGTCTCTACTAATAAAATGTAACAACTCCTAGGTTACATGGTCTTTTGAGACTTAAAAACACATACAGTGAAAGTCCTTTGTAAATTATAAACCAGGCTATAAAGCTGTTAATTAAAAATAAATTTAGGGACACTTGGGTGTGGTTCAATCAGTTAAGCAGCTGCCTTTGGCTTGGGTCATGATCCCAGGATCCTGGGATTGAGCCCTGCGTTACCATCGGGCTTCCTGCTCAGTGGGGAGCCTGCCTCTCCCTCTCCCTCTGTCTCTGCCTCTCCCCACACCTCCCCCTTGCTCACACACTTGCATACATACATAAATTCCTTTAAAAATTTTTAAATGTCTTTACTAAGTATTCAGGTCTTCTTTAGCTTACTCTGAAAAGCTGTACTCTTATAAGGTTCATCTTCTTTACATTCTCCTTTATGTATATATTCTGGTGGTTTCCTTATGCTAGGATTCTCTTATCCATATCTTAAACTGCTTCCAAAAGTCAAACCAGACATAAGATATTTCTTCCATATTTTGAATTCCTACCAAACTTATGTGTAACCATCTATCTCACAGCATAAAATGCTTCACCATATAGTATTATTTAAATAATACAAGTATCAAAACCCTGAAATTTAAATCACAAAAGAAAATATGATGGAACATTAATTTCAGAGTCTGGAAACTTTAACATGAAACTTGGTAGACATAAGAAGAAATACTAATATATTTGGATATAATTTTTTTAATCTATGTGTATTTTTTATAATACCCAAACATTAAAAAAGTCAAGAGCCAAATAGCAGTATGAAGAAATTTAGGAATATATAAGGAAAAAAGAATTCTTACCAATCAGTAGGAAAACAGACTTCTAAATAGAAAAGTGGTGGACAAAGGTTAAGAAAATAATTCTAAAACTATAACTAAGAATAGCTTCTCTCTTTTCCTTCTCATTAATTTTGGCCCTAGCATTTGTTCATTAACTACTATCCAAATTTCTGGGATACCTGGGTGGCTCAGTGGTTGAGCATCTGCCTTTTGGCTCAGATCATGATCCCAGGATACTGGGATAGACTCCTCCATCAGGCTCCCCACAGGGAGCCTGCTTCTCCCTCTGTATCTCTAACTCTTTCTGTCCCTCTCATGAATAAATAAACAAAATCTTAAAAAAAAAAACAAAACCACCTACTATTCAAATTTCTAACCGTCACTCTACTATGCTCTAGAAATATTTAATTAAGCCAGCAATGAATGATCTTTCAGAGAAATCAGAAAACAAGAGAAACAGAGTGGCAATGAGACAACTGGGGAAAAAAATAACTGTATATATTTGTATATCACAGAAACAAAATATGGACAAACATGCCACATATCAGACTCTAAGAAATGTTATTCTCACAGACCATCAACTCTCTCACCCTAATCAAAAATATATTTAAAAATAACCTGTGTATAACATGTGAAATAAACTCAGTATTTTAATAAAGTAAAAAAAAATTTTAAAAATTACCTGTACAATACAAATGTACTGTCATTTACGTTTAAAATGTTAAATAATAAATTTTATGTATATTCTGCCATGATAAAAAGAAAAATCCTGTGTCAGTAACCATATTACAGAAAGCAGACTGCCAAAATTCATATCTGCATACTTTCAATATATATTATGTGGCATTTACACTTCCCATTTATACATATATGATGAAATAATTTCATATTCTCACCCAAGATTTCCTTATAAAATTTGCTTTCATCTTCTATTCTGCTAAGTACTATGTATTAAACTATTAAATATAATTATTAATGGAGGAATAATATAGGATATTCACTTCTAAGATGATGACATTTTTTTTATGCACGTATTTTGTTTTGAAAGAAAGCAAGCTCAAGATTAGTTAGGTCAAAGGGGGGCAGCCCAGGTGGCCCAGCGGTTTAGTGCCATCTTCAGCCCAGGGTGTGATCCTGGAGACCCGGGGTTGAGTCCCATGTTAGGCTCCCTGCATGGTGCCTGCTTCTCCCTCCCTCTGCCTGTGTCTCTGCCTCTCTCTCTCTCTCTCTCTCTCTCTCTCTGTGTCTCATGAATAAATAAAATCTTTTAAAAAAAAGAAAGATTAGGCCAAAGGGGAAGAAGTGAGTGCGAGTGTGTGTACACACATGCATACGTACGTGTTTGTGTATAAATTTTAATCTCATGGCAATTAATACAAAAGAGATTTCTTCCAGACTCTCAATATTCAAATCCTATAGCTCAATCTAGTCTAAAATAACTTAAATTCCAACTGAATTTAAGCTTTTTTTTTTTAAAGGATTTTATTTATTTATTCACGAGAGACACAGGAGCAGGGGGACGGGAGAGAGGGGGAGGGAGGGAGGGAGGGAGGGAGGGAGGGAGAGAGAGAGAGAGAGAGAGAGAGAGAGAGAGAGAGGAAGAGACACAGGCAGAGGGAAAAGCAGGCTCCACACAGGGAGCCTGACGTGGGACTCGATCCTGGGTCTCCAGGATCAGGCCCTGGGCTAAAGGTGGCACTAAACCACTGAGCCACCAGGGCTGCCCTGAATTTAAGCTCTTTTTTTTTTTTAATTAATTTATTTATTTATTTATGATAGGCACACAGTGAGAGAGAGAGAGAGGCAGAGACACAGGCAGAGGGAGAAGCAGGCTCCATGCACCAGGAGCCCGACGTGGGATTCGATCCCTGGTCTCCAGGATCGCGCCCTGGGCCAAAGGCAGGCGCTAAACCGCTGCGCCACCCAGGGATCCCTGAATTTAAGCTCTTTTACAACTCTAGCCACATACCCTGGGTAAAAATGTAAGAAACAAACAAGGAGCCTCTTCTACATTTGTAGTGTTCCAATTTTATATCTAACTTCAAAGCATGACAGAAAAGGGGAGATTCCAATAATGACAGCACAGAGTAGAATAAAAGTGAGTATTGTCAGTCAGCTACACTCTTCTCTTGATCAGGAACCCCAAATAATTTAGAATGCAACAGAAATCCAGCAATAACCCTGGTCAGATCAGCCAGCTAGGGAAAGCTTCAAGATTCTAGCCGACTCCTAAAAATTTATTATAAAAATTCTGAAAATCAGATACAAAATCAAATAATGGTCCTCTAGGAAAGGGACTATCAAATTTCATAGGAATCGTTTATCCTGAGCAAAAACGGCTATAGAATTCAGGTCATTCAGTATGTTTGCAGAATAACCCATAAACATCTAAGAAGTTGACAGACTACAGGTATCCTTCAATAGCAGCTAATTCTGCCATGCTAAGAAATGAACATGGGCAACAAATAATCTCTTTCCTAAAACCCTATTGGGGCAGGGGAAGGCGAGGAGAGTATGGTATGCAAAACTACATACAATTTTTTTGTTTTTCATAAGTTGCTGGAATTATAGCCACATCTACATAAATGCACTTACATATATTTTTGAAATAAAAGGTTTAAAGTATTTATAAATTATTTTCTAAAACAACTCTGCAAAGCATATAAATTTTTTATTTTTAAATATTCATTCAGTAGTAAAAGCAAGACATGGCATTCACAATATCTGTAATATTAGTCTAGGATTCAAATGGCTCTACTGACAAAAAGCCATGGTAAGTTTTACTATCTTCTGAATACAGCCTATTCCACAGATAAAATTCTGACTCAAACTTAGTATAATACATAGCTAATATTAAATATTCTTTGAAAACTATAATGCTAGTTACTAGCTAAGAGAATCTATTAATTAAGAAAATGATTTTTACTGCTCTATTTCCTATCCAAAATATTTATTGGATAAATTATTTCAAGTTAATATAAAAATGCTTACCTTGACACCATGGCCCACATCATCCAGAACTGTATAGTCAATAGGTTTCCGAATATACCTTACAGGACGCTCCATGTTTGCAGGTGCTATTATTTTGTGAGTTCTTGATGTATTCTTATTTGTTGTCAAAATACCAATCTCTCTCCGAGCCACTTTTTCTTTGTGAATGTCCACGGTCTATATTTTAAATTTCAACACAGAAAATATTATTAGGCATAGTAAATAACAGCCATATATATTGACCATATACAAGGTTGGACTACAGGACAGTATCACATGTCTACTTTCCAGGGAATACTGTATCTTTCCCTTCAAAATTAAGGAAATTAATATCCTTGAGGCTTAAAACAGGGAATATCTAAAAGTGATTAAAACCAACAACTGATTTAATGGAGTTGGTTCCAAAACAATTTCCAGGGAAACAATTTTCATTCCTAAAAACTCAGTGTGTATGGAACGGAACAGGTATCTTGCTCTGAGAAGCTTATACTTTATTTATTGAGGATGCAGATAAGGAAGAAAATCAATAATTACAACACAATAAGGTAAGTGCTGTAGTGACCTACACACAGGGCATCTGAACCTCTCCAACAGTGTTCAGAGCTGAGATACCTAACTAGGTTGAGAAGGGTTCACTTAAAGACTTTATAAAGAAAAAAAAAAGACTTTATAAAGTATGTAGGTTTTTAAGAATGAATAGAAGAGGTAAATATGGAAATTATTCAAGGCAATCAATCATGTTGCAGATAAAAGGTATAAGAGAAAAGATGGTAAGTTAGAGCAGAGGTTACAAACTGGCATCATGCAGCTTACCTAATACTGGCCTTTATGGCTTAAAAAATTTTGTTGTTGTTGTTTAATTGCCAACATTTAAACCTAGATAGTAGTCAGCACATAAGAAATAATTACACAACTACTCAATAATTTAAACTTTGTCCTAATGGTAGTGAGGAACTGGTAACAAATTTTAATTGGGTGACATCATCAAACCTGCATTCTAAAAGATCCCTCGAGTTAGGGCATCTGGGTGGCTCAGTTGGTTAAGCATCTGCCCTCGGTTAAGCCATGATCCCAGATCCCAGGGTCCTAGGATTGAGCCTTCTTGCTCCCTCTCCCTCCTGCTTATGTGCTAATAAATAAAATCTTAAGGGAAAAAAAAAAAAAAAACAAACAGATCCCTCTAGTAGAGGTGGTGAGGATAGACAGAACAAGAGCACAGGCCGTGAGACCAGGCAGGAAGCAGTGACAATAGTCTAGGTGGAGAAGCAGCAAAGATAGAAACTGAAGATGGTCAAGGGGTATTGTCAGAAAAAAAACAAGTTTAAGATTCTATTAATGTTTAAAAATAACCTGTGTTAATGTTTAAGATTCTATTTCCAGAATTTAAAAAATTGAGAGAGGATCTGCAATCAAAATATTCTCCCAACTCCAAAACAAGGTAAAGAAAATTCTCCTTCAGTGTCTAGAGTTTTTGCACATCTTACAAGAAAAGGCACTGCTCCCCCTGTCTGGGATATTTATAAACAGCCTTAGAAGATATGGTGTCTTCCAGGAGAGCAAAAGGTAGGCTTGCTTTCTGTCCAGTGTAATAAAAATGTCAGCTCTGGGGCAAAGGTCAGGAAGGCTTATTGCCCATTATAAAAGATCTGGTCCCCTAAGCTGGGAGTTCTTTTCCTGCAATGGCCCCATCTCTGTGTGCAAACATCACTTGGCTCTCTTTTCAGTATCCTACAGAAATTGGGGCTAGTTACTGGCTAGTAAATGCTGACACTGGCTACTGCTATTGCCATGACCAATGACATCCTGCATCTGGCCCAAGAGTCTCATGTCTTGGATCCCTGGGTGGCGCAGCGGTTTGGCGCCTGCCTTTGGCCCAGGGCGCGATCCTGGAGACCAGGGATCGAATCCCATGTCTGGCTCCCTGCACGGAGCCTGCTTCTCCCTCTGCCTGTGTCTCTGCCTCTTTCTCTCTCTCTCTCTCTCTCTCTGTGTGACTATCATAAATAAAATAAAAAAAAAAAAAAAGAAATAGGGACAAAGACCCAATATATATATAAAAAAAAAAGTCTCAGGTCTTTAATATTGTCTATGAAATTGTTGCAAGCTAACTTCTTAGCTTGCACAAAGGGTAAAAAAAAATCTTAAACCTTTCACAATTTTTGACAGTTTTGGAAATGAGGCAGAATTTCTTCTAGAAATGGAATGAAAGACCAGTTAACAGGAACCAGCTAAGTCCTTGGGAATCATGAGTGAACATGCTGACCAAATGGGATGGTCAACCAAGCAATAAATGGTTTACTTTACCAGCTATTAATAAAGGCTAATTTGAGGATGTAGTTTCAAGGTTAATACCATTTTGTAGGTTCAAAGATAGCAGTCTGAATAATGCCCTAGTTACTGACCATCAACTTTCCATCAACCTGACACTTGGCCTCAGCAGGTCTGCCCTATGAACAACTGGTACTAAGATTTATCTGGCAGAGGGAGTGGGGAACACAAAAGACTGTTCCTCTTAGACAATGTTACACCCAATGTTACACTGGGTGCCAAAGGAGAAAAACTACAACCACTGTGGTCAGAACCAGAAGAATCTTTAGAACTTCAGCTAGTTTGTTACATGCAGGGAAGGGGCACATAATGCTTATTAAAAGATGGCAACAGCTGACTGTCTTCTTGCTCAGTCCCTCCTGCAGCCTATTTGGTCAACATTCAATTCATTCAAGATGAGTAAAAGAGGGGTGCCTGCATGGCTGTCAGTTGAGCATCCAATTCTTGATTTCAGCTCAGGTCATGATCTCAGGGTTGTGAAATTTAGCCCTACATTGGGCTCCACACTCAACAGGTTTCTTCTTGGAATCCTCTTTTCCTCTTGCTCTGCCCCTCCCTGCTGCATTCCCTCTCTAATAAATAAATCTTCAAAAAAATATATTAGTAAAAAAAACCTCAGCATTTTTTGGCAGTGGGTCTACTACAAAAGAGCTCTGCCTATACCACCCCGCCCACCCCACCCCAAAAATTTCACTAAGAGAAACTACTGTGGGCACTGACTAGCCTTCACGTTCTTCCTGTACTAAACTGGGTTTAAAATGATGAAAAAGGTGATTCACTAAAGAATGAGAAACTTGTCCAAAGAAATCTAGATGAAGTCTTGCTGTTGGACCTTATGGCCTTGGAAAACTCCTCTAATTCTTATGCTGAAATAAGCAAGAATTTAAGAGATATTATCTCGATAATGGAACAGCAAATAGCCTACATTATGTAGACTACTAAAAACAATGCTGAAAAAAATAAAATAAAATAAAATAAAACAAAACAAAACAAAATAAAATAAAATAAAATAAATAAAAACAATGCTGTCACTGTGCAGATCTTAGCCCAAGTCATCCAAAGGGCACGCGGTCATTTCTCTACCAGAAAGCAATGTGGCTGTAGCTCTGAGTGTCAGTATTGATCAGCATACAGCTAGAGCATTGCTCAAAACTGAAAGGAAATACACCTTGTTTAGAGGGGCAGAGCTGCTCTCTCCCAATCTTCCCGATGGCCCAGCTTCGGCTGCTTTGCAAAGATAAATGGTGGTAGAGATGAGTTTTCCTAGTTCCCCAAGGGAACTGAAGATCAAACATACTCAGGTAGGCTAGAACACTAGAGAGAGGTGGGATTCAAATTTTTATGGCTCTGTTACATACAGGAGCCCACATCCCCTTCAAAACCATCATGTAGAGGAAGAGGGTACTTGTTTTCAGCTACCAACATTTGGGTAGGATTAACAGTGGGTAAACAGCAACTAACTCATACCTTTTCAGTGCTATCTTTGGATCAATTCAGTGTATTACTACTGTTGTGCCTTCTACCACTGAGTATATAATTTACTGATATTTTGCATGCCTGTACTGTGAATGCTCCTAAGTGCCAGAGCAGATTATGACAAATGGGAAGAGCCCAAAACACTGGTAGCTTTAGCACCCCACAATCCTTATGACCCCTTTGTGTACACATCTCCACACATAGATGATTTTACTCACTGGGGCCTCTGGCAAGAGGAGCAGTTCCCACCAAAGGTATCCCTTTGGTTTTTGGATTCAATGCCTCCCTAAAAGAGCTACCAAGTGCACACTCCTTTTGAAGTTTCCCATTTGAGGATGGGTCAACTCAAACTCAATGACTACAAAGGTGGTAAGAGACTAACAAGCTTCTCTTATCACATTCAAGTGGTAAATTCAAGAATGCAGCCAGGCTGGCCCCTATGGTATTTTAGCTTTACACGAAAAAGTGGCAGTTATCCCCTGGGGGAAGTTTTAACCTCCATTCTGCATAAATCAAAGCCACTGGCTCATTGAGGCCCTTGATTCATGGAGGATCTCATAAATGCCTGCACCTGGTTCACTAATGAATGATTCAATTACAATGAAACTATGGTGTTCAGAGTGCTGGTATGCTGTTCAATTTCAGGGTCAGCCACACAGAGCTGAAAATGGGTGTGGATGCTTTGCTCCATGGGCAGAACTCAAGTATGTTCTCATAGATCTGACCAATATTCCTCTTCATAAACCTTGTTATATTTTTACTGACTCTGGGTCTGTTACTAATGACCTAGCTATTTGGTCTACTACTTGGAAAACTACAAACTGACATAATAAAAACTAGCCATAAACTGTTGGGGACAAATTGCAGTTGCTGATCAGATTATCTAGGTCACAAATATAGATGCCCATGGTAAGGGCCCATCATCTGATGAGATCATATGGAATGAAGCCTATAACCAGGCCTATATCGCCCAGACTGCCATCACTGCTGCAGGATCTATTAACACATGTACCATCATAGAACAGATATAGAGTAAAAGACTCTCTGTTCCTGATGCAGAGGCAATCAATGCTTGCACACTTGTAATTCCCAGAAGATCCACTTGTCTGATCTCTTCTACTGACAGACTGGCTACATCAGATCTCTGACCTCCTTCTTCAGGCTATTAGTAGTATCTTACCATTGGTGACATTTTTTTTTAGGCATGACACTGCTATTCCAATCCAATCAGCTGACTCCAGCCACACCAATGTTAACCTTGATGCTAATCTGTGCCTCATTTTTCACTTTCCAAACCATTTGCAGTCTGTTATGTTTTTATTCTAAAAGTCACAACAATGGGCAGTTAGTCAAGGTGTTTGATGACCTTCCAT